CTTCTACAGCGGGAGTCGCAGCTGTCTCTGCCCCCTCTGGTGGGCGGGGACGGCGCAGGGGTGGTCGTGGTCGTGGAGGAGGTGGATGTGTTGGTCCGTCAGGGGGTGCACGTACGTCCGAGGGTACTGGCTCTGCTTCTGGTGGGTGCGGTGGTGCTAGTGCCGACGCGAGTGCGACGGTGACTCCACAGCAGCAGGAGCAGCAGCAGCTCCAGCAATGGGTCTCCCAACGGGGAGCGGTGGCGCCGGTGGAGATTCCGTCCGGTCCACTGCGCGGCTTCGTCTGCGGGCGCACCGGTCACACCACTTTGAGCATATGGCGTCCCTCTCGAACTGGCCTGCGCTGTTATGCATTGGTTTGCTTATGTTTGATCGTGACATGTCTCATATAGGGTCTGTTTTGTTTGCCATGTATGCTGATGACTCTAGTGTTGCCGGATTCTATTATTCGTGCGTGCCTAGAGTAGGTTATCATTATGTGTCTAGTGTAGGATCCTCTGTTGTTTCCTGCCCAGGTGCGTCCACTGCCGACGCGTCCCTCTCCGCCACTCTCAACTCCAGCGCGTCCCAGTGCTTCTTCCGCGACCGCACCACCCTCTCGCCGCTTCCAGTTCTTGTCGCTGTCTCCTAGGCCGACCCCTCCTCTGGACCGGTCGTCGCACGCAGCGCTACTGCATTCCCGTGCACGGCAGTCCCCTCTGGCTCCCTTACAGGTCTGCACATCCCCTTGTTCTCCAGGAACTTGGTGGGTGTCGCTCATCTTCTAGACCTCGGTGTCACCACCACGTTTCCTGGACACGAGCGGTTCACGACATGTATGGACGCTACGACCTGGGCACCTCTTACCACGTTCTCCCAGGACCCTACGTCAAGTCTTTTCACGCTGCACACTGCGTCCACCCAAGTTACTGAGTTGCATCGTGCTCGTGTCGGTCGCTCACTCACCCATCGTTCATGTGGCACTACCGAGTGAAGGTTAACAATTAAACACGTCTACTGAACAATGCTTAAAACATGATGGTACAATAAAAAAGGGGATTCAATGGGAGCTGGTCGTGTATATTTGCCATTACTCTGGCTCACCTCCACTTCTTCCCATACTCTGCTGACCCATCTCTCTTTGTTCGCTCTGACTCTACTCCGTTCAGAGTCGCATTGGACTCGGTGAAGGCCGAATTTCTGAGGTGACACACTTGCACTGACCTAGGTGAGCTGCGTCGCTATCTTGGTCTGCAGATCACTAGGGACAGAGCAACGTGCACCATCACTCTCACACAGTCACACATGGTGCAGCAGATCCTCTAGCGCTTCGGCCTTCAGTTCTCCTCTGCATAGCTCATTCCTCTGCCTGTTGGCCATACACTCTCGACCCCTATCCCTGACGAGCATGTTGAGCCCAGTGGTCAGTACGCAGAGCTGGTGGGGTGCCTCATGTACCTGATGACCTGCACTCGCCCGGATGTTGCATATCCTCTCAGCATCCTTGCTCGCTTTGTTGCGACTGGGCGACAGCGACCTGAGCACTGGTCGGCTGCTAAAATTGTATTGTGCTATCTGGCTAGCAAATCAGGCATGGAGCTTGTGCTCGGAGGACGACAACCAGTTGCACTCGCGGAACACACTGACGCGTCGTGGGCAGACGACATCGAGACTCTCGGGTCCTCTCAAGGCTACTGTTTCAGCCTTGGCGCAGGAGCGGTCTCGTGGAGGTCCACTTACTCGTCGTTGGTGGCACAATCCAGCTATGAGGCAGAGATCTACGCTGGCACTATGGCTGCTCAGGAGCTCCGCTGGCTGGCGTTCTTGCTCAATTACTTAGGTGAGCCGCCTAACTCTGCCCCGATCCTCAATTATTTAGGTGGGCCATGGTCCTCCTCTGTCAGGAGCCTAGACTAGAGGGCAGAGAGAAGCACATTCAGCTGCGGTAATTCCTGCTATCTGAGTTGCAGAAGCGCGGCGAGGCACCCGTCGCGCATCCCGCAATGCGCTCCGCGGGCCCCCCGAGTCGCCCCGTAGGCAACCCCCGCAGGTCCCTCGTTTCGCCCTGAAGGCACCCCGATTCGCGCCCCGAAGGCCCCCCGATTTTGCGCCCCGAAGGTCCCTCGTTTCGCGCTCCGAAGGCCCCCCGATTCGCGCCCCGAAGGCCCCCCGATTCGTGCCCTGAAGGCCCCCCGATTCGCACCCCGAAAGCCCCCCGATTCGCGGCCCTTTCCCTTCCCCCCGTCCCGTTTTTCTCCCCCCCCCCCCCCCGTCGCCTCGACTGCCCGCGCCTGCTTCTGCAGTGCGGGGAGGTGGCGGGCGGGGGGGAGGCGGCAGGGGAGTGGACCCTGCACCCTGCACCCTGCCCCTGCCTCTGCCCGCGCCCACTCTCTCCTCCACCGCGCCTAGCCACTGTAATTGTCTGTCTCTTGGTGGTGTGTGTACCCCTCTTGCCACATTTATCTTTCTATATCTTGTACTTGCTTCTATAGTGAAACCCCCTTTCTTCACTCTCAACTCACGCTACTCGCGCTTCTCTCATTCCTAGCTACTTTAACAGTATTAACCGAAGGATTACGGTAAAATTTCGGTAACTGTACGCGGCTCGGTAACCGTTCAACAGTTGAATACCGCACATTCGTGACTTTGATGTTGTAACAACCGTCTTCGATTGTTTACTTCCATCGCCATGAGGGTTATTGCGGATCCGAGTGTATTGAGGATGCCGTTCAATGAATAATACCGTAAACAAAACGTTAAAACGAATGCCCCGTAACAAAAAAATAAAGATTTAAAACCGAAACTATCGATTGGACTTGCAAAAACTTTATGCATAGAAGCGATATCAAATGCATAGGGTTGCGTATCAAGGATATTATTAGAACAACAAATTTGTGGGTTTAAGAGAGTGTATTATTGGTTTGCTCCTATATAGAAACCAGGGTTATATTTAACGAGTCTCATTGTTGCTGGCAGTTTTTTGCGTCACCGCTGCCCCCTGGGCCAGTTGTCCACTGGCTGCCCAAATGGGAAAGAATGTTCTCTTCCTTCGGGATCAAACTTCTGTCAGCCAAAAATTATGAGCTCATCATCACAACCGAGAACCGAGGCAGTCAGCCAACCCCACTTCTCGAAGATTTTCGCGAACCCCCACAGTAGAGTCTAGTAGGCTCACGATAATTTGCGTACAGTTCCGATCTGATCGGGCAGGATATTCTGCTGGTTTGTAATCACTTATTTCGTAAGGGAGAATGGAGACTGTAAATAATAGTAGCGGGTGTATTTTGCAGGATGTTCGAATACCACCTCCCCTTCATTGCCCCGCAGCGAATACATTTCCGCTGTGTGGTCGGATCGGATGTAGTGTATTTTTGGTTACAATTGATTGCTCGGGTCGGGTTGGAACGAAGTGGATGTACACTCTAACACGAAAGAAGCGCCAACGAGCACGTTTCATTCGCACACCACGAGCGACAAGGTCCCACGTTCCTACAAGAAACAATGATTTCTGGGCTGCCTCTCAACCATAAATCATGGCCGCTCCCCTCCGCCTTCATTGTGCTTTCAGGGCGTGTCTGAAGTGGAAACGTCGAGTTTCGTCAAATTTCGTCGACGAAACTCATCCGTGGGACCCACGCGTGTTGGTGTCTGAAGTGCAGCCTGACATCCCTCGACGAAACTCGACGTTCGTGCACATGTCGAGGGATGTCGAACAGTGATACCGGGCAGCTGTTTGAGTCACTGTAGTCAGTGAGTGTTTCAAAAACAATTCTTCGACACGCCATGTCTGCATAGCTGTGGCAAACACACGTGAATAAGAACTAAGACGAGAGCGACACGTGCTAGAGAAATTTCGCTGGCAATGTGACAGTAGAATATCCGGTGTTACCAGCAACAATCTATGCTAAGCGAAATTCGCGAGATTGCAAACAATTGAGTTACATGAATGATTCTGTTAATTCCACGTCGAATTTTCATGGGCAACTTATAGCAGTGTTCCTATGGCACGTGCGGGTTATTTTGTCGTGTGGGTGTCTGAAGTGAACACAGCTGAAAACAGATGTCGAGTTTCGTCAAGGAACGTCGACGAAAGTTTCGTCGGCAAACGTCGAAATTCACTTCAGACACGCCCTCACCACACATCTCCCCAACCAAATTCCTCCACCCGCCCACGTGTACTGTAACCCTCCCCCCAACCATCCCACTGCTCTCGCACGACCACTTCCGCCCCCAGGGCATGCGCCAGCTTTGTGCTGCGCGTCTGCTTCTCGCTGCACATGGCCTCCAGTTCCTTCCCCGAGTGGCGCATTTGGAAGCACCTTCCGCTGCAGCCAGCGCAGCACACATTGAAAAGGTTCAGGTTTCAAGAAACTGCCCGCGGAACACGAGAACAGAACGGTTGAAGTGATGCCCCCAGCCAAGTCCAGGCTAGCCAATCGCAAGGCCGCCCGAGCCACACCACCAACCACAAACTCGTACCCAAGCCAGAACTTAGCTTCCCGCGCACTTCCCCATCAATCTCCTCCACCCTGACCTGAACTGAAGTTTTTCTCTATAGGTTTCGTTTCCACCTTTCCATCCCATCCCACTCACCCACTCTTCCTGAACGCCCTTTCACCAGCTGTCGTAGCTACTGCAATGCTCAAACAGTTATTCGTCACCCCCCTCCCGTCCACTCGGATTTGTTGACACACACACCTATGGCCGCTGTCCCTCTCTCTGTCTCTCTCTCGCTGCCTGCCTCTCGAGTCGAGTCTCGACTCGCACCTCACGCGTCCTCTGCTTTCAAGTTTAAAAGTGCGCGCATCGTCGGCGAAGGGGCAGTTCAGTGCCTTTGATCTGACGACTTGCGTATTTGTCCTTGCAGCCTTTCCTCGACACCCACTGACGCGTATTGATTCCACCTTGAAACACGTATTCGTCCGTTGACCACCTTTATCCAGCACTTTCCAACGCTGCATTTTCGATCCAAGCTTAGCAAGAGACCCGACGAACTGTGAATTCCCGAAACGTGGGTGCAAATGGACGACGACATGCAGAACATCGGCGGGAGGGACGACAACACCTTTTTTGACACGTCGACCGACTGTCTGCCGCTCGAAACTCCCGCTCAAGCTAACTTAGTGCCTGCTTTCGTGCAGGATAGGGACTTAAGTAGCTTCTACGATCAACTCATGCAGAACGACCCCGCTCCGCAACTCCAGTCTGCCGCTTCCCAGCTCCAGCAGCAGCAGCAACAGTCGCAACTTGAACAGCAGCAGCAGCAGCAGCAACAGCAGCAGCAGCAGATTCAGCTAACGAACCCGTCACACGACGCCTCCGTGGCCGCCGCAACGATGCGCGGGCGCGGCGAGCACGCGAACTCCCAGAGCTTGTCGGCCAAATCCCTCGCCGCGGCGCTTCTAGACCCGAAGTCCGATGTGGGCCACCGCATTCGCTGCTCCGGCGTGGCGGCATTAACCCCGTCGGAGCAGCAGCTGCTGCTGGCGGCGCTGCAAAAAGAGGCTCAGGAATCGGCGGCGGCGGCGGCGGCGGCGGCGGGGCCGCAACCCGTCGCACGCAGACCGACGGGATCTGCTGCGGAAATCGTGCCGCGAGTGAAGTCTTTCGGCTCATCTCCTCCCGCGCGCTTCAGCGAGTTTACCGCCGCAACAGGCGCCGGCGATCACGCCGCAGGCGAGGACTCCAGAAGCGCGGGACACAGGAAATCAGCATCATTCTCCGTCGGCCAACGGATCGCCGCGAGTTCCGCCGCCATGGCCGCCGATCATTCATCGGGTCTACGGTCGAGGCGCGGTCTTCCGGACCTACATCAAGTCCGTGGTTTGGATACAGGCCACAGCGGCGGCTCGGGAATGTCGCCTCTTACTCGTCCGAGCCCGTCCGGGAAGCGCGACGCGGAGGGAAACCTCGTTGTAAGCACGCCGGGGCGCTTCTCGACGCTAGGAGCCAGCCCGCGCGGGCCCCTTCAAGTGGCGGATGCGCAAGGGATGGGCGCAGGCTCCCTGGGGGGAGGAAGCGGAGGATCCGGAGACAGCGCGCACCTGTCGATCAGCCCTGAAGCGGTTTTGGCGGCGGAGCTTTCGAAGATCGGCGTGTCGCCTGCCGTCATTGCCGCGACGGCTGGCGCGGCGGGTCGCAACGTGTCGGGAAGTGGCGGCGGGCAGATAGCAGGCGGCATGGCGGATATTTCCGCGCTATGGGGAAGGGGAGGGCTAAACCCTAAAGCGGGGACGGGGAGCTGGGGGGCGGAAACGGGCAAGGAAGGGGGGAAAAGGCACGCGGGCGCAGGGGGGGTTGGCGGGGGGGACAGCGGGTATGGCGGGATTATTCTTGCAGCAGGACGACAGCCCGCCGGGGGGAAGCGGAAGCGTTTCGAGCGGGCGCAGTCTGGCGGCGCAGCAGCAACAGCCCGCGGGCGGGAGCCAGCAGCTTTCGCTACAGAAGCAGGGATCCGGATCGGATTATTCCAAGGACGGCCATACAGAAGGCGCTACGGCGTTTGCCGGCAGTCCCGACGGAGGAGGTGCGGGAGGCGGAAGCGCCAACGCCCACGGCCACATCGCTGGCTACTCTACCAAGCCGCGGAGTGTCGCGGAGCGCATGCGGAGGGAAAAGATTACGTCGCGTCTTCAGAACCTCAAGGAGGTGCTTCCTAAGATGGACGCTGAGACTGACACGTCAGCGATGCTGGAAGATGCGGTGGTGTACATTCAGTCGCTGCAGGCTCGATGTAAAGCGCTCGAGCGGCAGAACGGGGCGCTCTCGCACCAGCTGCGCGAAATCGGGGTTACACCAGCTGTCATCAGTAACCCTCAGTTTTATAACCAATAATAAACAGTACCATATGCAATACTTGAAACATCACGTGTAAAGCATTGTACTGTGTTGCTTAGAAGGAGACTCAGGCAGTGGGCAGCAGCACATATGGTACAATGATTAGGTACATGGCCGTGCGGTGGTGTTTCTGCGTATGCTCCATTCGTTCATAGCCCTTCATTCTTGCCCTTGTTATTTATGATTATTCGTCCTCCTATCTATCGTTTATTAACCAGTGTCATGTACAACATTCCTGTTTGTGCTAGCAATGTTCATTCTGCACTACCACCTCTCCCAGCAACTGTATGCTGAATTCACCATCAGGGCCCAAAATTGGTTTTGGCTCACCCTGTCTAAGGGTACATTCCTACCTCGTGTCAGACACGAAGTGGAGGTTCGGATGGAGGTTCGGAAGACCCGAAGTGGCCCACTTTGGGTCTTCCGAACATTGATTTGCCAGAGTTCAAGGTCACTTCGGGTCTTCCGTAACTTCACTTCGTATCTGACCTCATGTCAGACACGAGGCAAGAATGTACCCTAATCAGTGTTCCAGGCTGGGCCAACCCTGACTCCTAGGGTACAAATTTCGTACACTGATGGAAACAGGGTTAAAAAAAAACTTCAGTGTACTGGGGTACCAAACACTAAATGCTAATGTATACATTATGTGTGCATCTTCAGCAAGTTGAAGTGGTCTAGTTAGTTAGATGTGTTTGTACGTACAGTAAGTTCCTGGTTTCGAAACTCACACGCGAATCCGGCAGTGCTGGAATTGATGACGCAATTATACTCAAAATCCTCGATATCCTCGCTACGAAAGATCCGGTATCAGTGTAAATCGGGAGGAACACTGAAGAAGTCAGGGGAAACAATCGCTAACTCGGATTTCATAAGGGTAAAAAAAAAACCAGCACTTTTTGACTCAGGGTAAGAAGTATGGGAGGCTGACTGGGTCAGGGTAACCCCAAAAAAAGCGGCCGCCAGTCAGGGCAATCAGGGTATTTTACCCTGATATTTTGGGGCCTGTTCACCATCCATCTGTTGTACAGGTACTGTGGATGGCAGGCAGTGCATGAAGAGTCAAGGGGCATATGGAGGCGCACCAAAGCTGCATTTTCATGCCAATGTGTTGCACAATCAATCTAGGATTGACACTGAAACGAGCCCACATAAATGTGCACTCATAGGATATCTGGCAGCCAATCACATCCTCATTTCACGAAGAAACATCTACTAACTTTGCGATGCATCAGATCAGACTGTTCCTTCTGAAGCCTCAAGGTAAGGCCCAAACTCTTGCAGCTACAGCAGCACACACAACTTCGATTCTCTACCTCCTCTGCTCGGCTCCAACCCTAACCGCGTACGTCCCATATCCAAGCATTACCTTTTTTTGGGGGGGGGAGGTCTTGGGGGAGGGCGTGGGGGAGGGCGCGGGGGAGGGCGTGGGGGAGGCCGTGGGGGAGGCCGTGGTGGGGGGCGTGGGGGAGGGCGGGGGGGAGGGCGGGGTGGGGGTCGAGGAGGAGGCTTTGGGGGCCGAGGGGGAGGGGGTCGGGGGGGTTTAGGCGGAGGGGGACGGGGGGGTTTAGGAGGAGGGGACCGTTTGGTGGGAGGGGAAGGGGGAGGGGGGGACTGCTCCATCCATGCTACCTCTGCAATGGAAACATTTCCGGGCTGCCCAGGCTTGATGTACCCCACCTGCGCCGTCTCTCCGGGCAGCATGGGCAGCAGATTCGCACTAACCCGGTACAGCGTCACAATTTTCAAGCTGCCCGAAGAGCTGTCGGTGGAGCTGCCCGCAGCGGAAAGACCCCAGACGCTGGTAATAGGAGGGTCATCGACGGGCAGGGTTACGGATATGGTAACCACAACAGCGGTGCGGGTGGATGGATTTGAAATGGTGATGTTGAATGCAGCAGCGTCAGGAGGCCATTCGTACAGCAGGTTTTGCTCGAGCGAGAGAGAGGAGGAGGAAGGAGGAGGGGAAGGAGGGGGGGTGGTAGGAGGAGGGGCGTTGGTTGGAGGAGGGGGAAACCCGGTCTGCAGCGGGGGAGGAGGGCGGGGGGTCGACGGGGCAGGGGGAGGGGGCCGGGGGGAGCTTGCAGGCGAGGGAGGGAGAGGAGGAGGAGACGAGAGAGGAGGAGGCAGAGGAGGAGAGGAAGGCGGTTGCAGGGGAGGCGACCCGCCATTTACACTCGGCGCGGGGGGTGCATTCGAAAAATACCCCAGAACGCTAAACTGCGGAGTGACCGCCTTTTCCTGTATGAATCCAAACGAGGCACTCCCCCCCGGACCCAGGTTCCTGGCCCAGTCCGGGAGAGCGCAGGCTACGGGGTCGATGTTCCAGTACTGCTGCGGCTGAAAGGAGGAGCAGAGCAGCGAGATGGCTGTGACGGGGTAGAGAGGGTCTGTGTTGGTGAGGGTGCACCCCCACTGTGCCACGTCCTTGCCGTCTGCCGTCCATCCCCCTGAGATGGTGCACGTGATGGTCACTTGCGTGGCTGGGGGGAGGGGATTTGGGGGTTGGGAGGGAGGGAGGAGCAGAGTAGCGAGATGGCTGTGACGGGGTATAGAGGGTCTGTGTTGGTGAGCGCGCACCCCCACTGTGCCACGTCCTTGCCGTCTGCCGTCCATCCCCCTGAGATGGTGCACGTGATGGTCACTTGCGTGGCTGGGGGGAGGGGATTTGGGGGTTGGGAGGGAGGGAGGAGCAGAGCAGCGAGATGGCTGTGACGGGGTATAGAGGGTCTGTGTTGGTGAGCGCGCACCCCCATTGACCTACGTCCTTGCCGTCTGCCGTCCAGCCTCCTGAGATGGTGCACGTGATGGTCACTTGCGTGGCTGGGGGGAGAAACGGTGGAATTGGAATGGGCGGGGAAGAGGGGGTCGCGAACACAATGACTGACATGACAGCACCACGAAGGAAGACAAGCATCAAGAAAGACATCACCAGGAGGAATGAAGGGCTGGAGGGCGAGCGGGAGGTGCACAGAAAAGAGAGAAGAGGGAAGCTGGGAGAGCAGGAAGAGTGAGGGGCACACACCAGCAAGAGGGGGGGGGGGGAGAGAAGAGAACAAGAAGGATGAAAATAGATGGATGCATTTTGGAGTGAACTAGACTGGTGACAGTAATTTAAGAGAGGCATACCTGGAGGTGGGGGAAAAGGCGGAGGGGAGGGCGGGCTGGGGGGAGGCGGAGGGGGCTTGGGCGGGCGCGGGGGAGGAGGGGGGTTGGGAGGAGGGGATGGCGGAGGGGGAGGGGAGGGCGGGGCAGGGGGGGGCGAGGGGCCGGGGGGGAGGGCGCCGGCAGCAAGGCGGGCGAGGGCACCGACAGCAGCAGCGTTGGTGAACAGGGATGGCTCGTTGAATGCTGCCTGCTGCCTGTCGTCCATGAATGCATCGTCCTGGGGGGTGGTATGGGGGGAGGGTAAGAGGAGGAAGGATTGGGCTGAGGCAGGCAGGCGGGCGGGCAGGCGGGCGAGAGCCCGGACGGCAGCAGCGTTGGTGAAGAGGGAAGGCTCGTTGAATGCTGCCTGCTGCCTGTCGTCCATGAATGCATCGTCCTGTGGGGTACCATGGGGGCATGATGTGAAGGGGGAAGGGGGAAGGGGGAAGGGGGCATAATGTGAGGCAGGCATTTGGGTGTGCGGGCAGGCGGGCAGGCAAAGAGACCTTCTGTGACTCACAAGGCATCCCACGAGCTTCACTTACCGCGTCAGGCCCCCCAACAATGGCCCCCACGTGCACGTTGGGGTTGGGGTCCGCGCTCATGAGCCAGTCCGCCTTGCCGCCCTCACAGGTAACCGGCGTGCTGTCCGCTTTGAACGAGACGATGGACGCCGCCCGGTGGCGCAGCTTCTGTGGATAGGACTGGCCGAAGCCGACCATGTAGGAGGCGTTAAGTGGGTTGACTCCTAGCAGGTAGTCCATCTGGTGTGGGGAAAGGGGGAGAGAGGGGAGAGTGGGGAGAGGTGAAAAGCGATTGAGAGGCGTTGAGGGGGTTGACTCCTAGTAGGTAGTCCATCTGGTGTGGGAAAGGGGAGAGGGGACTTCTGAGTCGAGTAAGAAGTCAGCTAGTCCAACCAACTGGCGTGGACGCACCTCAACACCCGCAGCCGACCATGTAGGACGCTTTGAGGGGGTTGACTTCTAGTAGGTAGTCGATCTGGGGTGAAGGGAGGGTGGAGGGAAGGGAAGGGAGAGAGACAGAGGGGGAAAGGTGAGGGAAAGGAGAATAAGAAGAAGATAAGTCCAGTTTGGAGGCACCTCACCATTCGAAGCAGATGCAGGACCTGTTGAGAGGGCTATGCTTGTATCAATATTGACAACTGTCAGCCTGTGACTATATCCCACCTGTGACTATATCCCACCTGTGACTATATCCCACCTGTGACTATATCCCACCTGTGACTGTATCTCGGATCCCACCTGTGACTTGGAGAAGGCCGCCACGTCAGCAGGCGAGTACTCTGTGCCGTCGCACGAGAGCGTCTGATTGGCCGACGCCAGGTAGTCACTGTAGAGCAGCAGCAGGAACGCGGCTGACGTGGCGTACTGGCTGTTGCGCGCTCGAATGTACACCAGCCCGCCTGCAGGGAGGGAAGGGCGGATGCAGGGTGAGGCAGGGAAGGGTGGATGCAGGGAAGGGCGGATGCAGGGAGGGGATTGGAGAGGGCCGAGAGGCAAAGGCGCTGAGCAGGCAAAAGGGCAAGAGTGGGAGGGGACACGGGTTGAGCAGGGTACATCAGGCACTGGGAACAGGGCAGTATAAGGCACGCTCTGCCCTTCGAGACACACGCAGTGACGGCTGTACTTGGAACAAGAAACACCAAACTGCCGTGAATCAGAATCCCCACCTGGGGTGATGTAGAAGCAGTGCAGTGTATCAAGATCATAGAGGCGCCTGAAGAATCACCTGGCGTGATGTAGACGGAGTGCAGTGTATCAAGCTCACAAAGGCGCCTGAAGAATCACCTGGCGTGATGTAGACGGAGTGCAGTGGGTTATCGGGCATGTAGGCACACGCAAAGGCGTCTGCCATGCCTCGGTACCCCTCCACCACCGCCTGTGCCGCCACGCTCAGATTAGCCGCCCCGCTACTGCTCCCCTGGAGTGCTACCTGTGCAGGGCGAGAAGGCACAGGGAAGGACGGAGGGACAGAGAGACAGAGGGAGTGAGAGTGGGTGGTACCCCTCCACCACCGCCTGAACTCTGTGCTGCGTCTGATTTGAGAGCGGGGCGTCTGCGTCTGATCTGAGCTGGGCGAGTTTGTCGTCCCAACTGAACTCCGTGGTGGCCTGCGATGCGACGACCCCTGCAGCTGCACCTGTAACACCGCTCACCACGCTGGAAGGAAAAAGGCCATACCTTAGCCAGGACTCCTCCCTGCAGGAGCACTTGCGTGTCACCACCCCTCCCTCACCACGCTGGAAGGCAAAAAGCCTTACCTTGGCCACGAGCACTTGCGCGCCGGCGAACTTGTCGTCCCAGCTGAACTCCGTGGTGGCCTGTGATGACCCCTGCAGCTGCTCGTCATTCGTCGACAGGTACTCCAGGTACTGCGGCGACCCCGTCGCACGGTGCAGCCACGCCGCCGCCCACGCCAACTCGTCCTGTTATGGGCACGGTTGGAGGAGAGGAGGAAGAGCGTGAGGGCATTGACCGTGCTGCTCGCCTCTCGGCACCAGATACTAGTACCGGGTCGTGTTGCATTTGCCGCGCCTAAATCTCCACGTCACCATTCCTCACCTCGTATCCGGTCCACGAGGGATAGTTCCGCCTCGCAATGGGGATAGAATCCGAATACACCCCGCGATAAGTGTCCGCAAACGCGAACAGCTGCTGCGAATGGTTTAACAACAGCGACGAATACGACGGATCCACTTTCGCGAACACCAGCGACGCCGCCGCCATCGCCGCCGCCGTCTCCCCTGCCACGTCAGACCCCGGCCGCGTCGCGTTCACCCGGTACGCGGTGCGGTCCGTCGTCATGTCCTCGGGCCGCTGCCAGCACAGGTCGTCGCTCGGACCGTCGCCTACTTGCACCCAGAGCTCATTCGCGCTCGTGTGCGCTTTAAGGAGGTAGTCCGTCCCCCAGCGAATCGCGTCGCGAGCCGCGGAGACCTGGCCGCTTGTTGCGGCGAGCTGCGATTGGTAATCGACGGCGGCCCAGGAGAGCAGCGTGAGGGCGAAGGCCAGCGGCAGGCCGTACTTAACGTTCCCCGCGCCGTCATAGTAGCCGCCGACCAAGTCGACCTGCGAAAAAAAGGGGGAATGGGAGGGAACGGGAGAGAATAAGGGGGCGAAAAGAAGGATGGATCAGCGTCAAGGCCGCTGACGGAACGGACGGGAATGATCGAGGGGGAGCTAGGATTCCGCGCAGCAGATGTTGCTATAAAGACGATTTGTCAAAATCGCCACACCTTCTGCGCTTTGCCGTCGGCGAGGCCGGAGTCGCCACGCCACGTCGTCCTGGTCTTGATCGCGGCGCCTGAGAGGTTACCCGACCGTTGGCCGTCGAAGAACAGAAGCGCTTTCGACAACGCGTCGCGGTAGTCGGGAGCGGCTGTTACGGTGGCGCTAATAGCGAGACAGCTGATGACGAGGATCAGGAGGGCTTCGTGCGCAGGCACAACGAAATGCGAGGACTGTTGACGCCTTCGAAAAGGTTTTCGGGTCGTCGCTGGCCAGCCTCTACGGGCTCGCGCCCGAAAGGCCGCCATAGGCGCGTCTATAATCACTAGCGGCTGCTGATACTATAATACTTGTACGGCCATTGCGCAAGAAGTTCCGTACCGTACGCTCCCCCGACGTCCCTTATGTCCAGAACTACCCAAAAGCTTGTCTGATATCTAGGAGGCAGTGCTGATAAATCGCCAGAAACTTTCGCCCTTGGGCTTTGCCGTACCTTGAATGTATCGTCAAGGCAGCCTAGAAGTTGGTTGGTCACACCTCCCCCTCAGTTTTCGCGCGAACTTTTGAATGTTTTTGCTGCGGGCAGACATGATGTTCTGAGTTCGCATAGCAGCATTTGTCGTCGGGTTGCTAGTGCGAGAGATTCCAGCTGCACAAAAAACATTTCTCAGATTGCTTCGGGCGCGCAGCTAACCGCCCGCCTGCGCCCCTGTCTGATTGGTTCCTGGACGCAACAAGTCCTAATCCCTGACCGCGACTCCGTCTTCTGGTGGGGGGGGGTTGTGACGGCGAGGGTCAATTCGCGCGAACACTGTAGCCGACACATTTTCTGACGGCGCAATGCTGTGATTGGGGGGAAGGTAGAAATGAAAAACCTCGATATTGTCCAGTCGTTCCGTTACAGAAATCAAGAACGTTTCGTACCTAATGTATCCCATAAAAGAAACAATTACGTGTTTAACAAAATAGCTTCATAGCAGATATGTGTCTCCACTGCACAGATAGGTGACTCGGTTCTTCACGCACCCTGCGCTTCCTCCCCCTTTCTCTTAGCTTGGCGTCTAGGGTCAGTCAGGCGCCGCTCTGCCTCCACGCCTAACCCCTTGAAGCAGTGGTGTTCTACACATTTCACCCTTCGACACCTAACTCGCTGCACAGTCGCGTCCTAATTCGCCCACTTCGTCCTGTTCAGGATAGTCGGGCCCGTGTCGCTCCTCGCGCTACGTCAGCAAAACCCCATGGCCGCTTCCTCACTTGGCTGCCACGTGGCGCTTTACCGAGCTCAACTGTTGACTTCACGCGCTGAAGCTGTCCAGTTAAATTCGTCCACCCCTTCAATGTCGCGCTGCCTCGCGCTTCAGAAGCCCTACTCGCGCGTACCGCTCAACCCGCTGACACCCGCGCGCGCCGCGAAGTCGCGACTCGTCCCGCGCGCTCTCGAGGGAGCGGTGATTGCGGAGGAAGGCGAGAGCTTGAACGGCGGCGTCGCCTCGTTCGACGCGGAAGAAGCGGCGGGAAACGGCGCAGCGGCGATGGCGGAAGGCGAAGACGTGTGGGAGAGGGAACCCGAGGGACGCGGAGTTTCCGGGCAGATTGTGGGAGTTTTGGGCGGCGGGCAGCTGGGTCGAATGTTATGTGAGGCGGCGTCGCCTTTAGGGATCAAGGTCGCGGTGCTCGACCCGCTGCCAGACGCGCCGGCTCGTCCAGTGGCGTTCCGCCACGTGGTAGGAAGCTTCCAGGACATGGACACCGTGCGAGAATTCGCGAAGAAGTGAGTCAAAGCTGTCGCGATAAGATCCTCCTAGCCAAACATCTTTCTTGTAGAACCAACCAACAAATTGCCGAACCGCGCACAGCTCAGTTCTCCTTCCCTATGAAATGCAGCCAGCCACTCAAGCTCCGCCCGTTCCCTTCTCAGATATGCTCGAACTCGCTCAAAGTGTGTGCGTGGCTCTCTTGTCCGCGTTATAAGCAGGAGCGACGTGGTGACGGTGGAGATAGAGCACGTGAACGTGGACGCGCTACAGCACTTGGAGGACGACGATTGCATCGACATCGAGCCCAAGCCTTCCACCATCGGGGTCATCCAGGTAAATTGTGACTGTAACGAGAGTCGAGTGTGACTGTATTGGTCTTTGACGCACCTCAAACACACACACTTGGAGGATGACGACTGCATCTACATCGAGCCCAAGCCCATCACCATTCCGCCTCATCCACGTGACCGTAATGTAGCCTGCAACATGACTGCAACGTGACTGTATCCAGGTGGTTACCTCTCTCATTTCTCTCCAACCTTATTCCATTCCTCACCCCCCACCTTTCCTTCTCTCCCCCGTCCCTTTCCCCGCCCCTCCCCTCGTCCCATCCCCCCGTCCCTGCGCCCACCAGGACAAGTACCTGCAGAAGGTTCACTTCAGGAATCGCGGTGTGCCCCTCCCAGACTTCGTGACGGTTAGTTGCTCTCTGCCCTCTCCTTGCCCTCCTATTGCTCTCCTTGCTCTGCTTGCCCTTTGCTTGAACTCAAATTGCTCTCTTCTTCCTCTCGTTCTCCTCCGATCTTAAGGCCCCCCTAAAGCATTATCTTTTTGCACATGCAAGCAGCCTGCCTTGATCGATTGCTGCGCGTCACAGGGTTGCACATGCTGCCCTGTGCCTCGTCTTGTCATGCACCGCACCGTACGTCTCATCCCGTGTTTCATAGTTCGTGACATCATGCCTTGCCTCATCACTTGCCTCATCGCGTTTCTTGTCCTGTGCTCCATCCCGTCCCATGCATTGCCATCAGGTACCGGACATGGCAGCAGGGATGCGTTTGCCTCATCCAATGCCCCTCCGTGACTTTTGAGACTTGTTAGATAGTATCCAATGCCCTGCCATGCCATCAGATACCGGACATGGCGGCAGCAGAGGCGGCAGGGGAGGCATTCTCCTACCCCTTCATGCTCAAGAGTCGCAAGAACGCATATGATGGACGTGGAAACGCTGTCGTGAACTCACAACAAGACATCGAGCAAGCCGTAGCAGGTGGGTGTTCCATTCCAGCATGTTTTTTTTTTTTTTTTTTTTTTTGTAATATAGATTGATCAATTTCGTCTTTTATTATCTGTAGCAAGTAAGTATCTAGAAGCATTGGCAGGTCCGCTCTGCGTGCTGTATGACCACATCGATCACACCGAGCTACAAACCTGTATGACCTGTGTATGACCACGACGATATGTAGTTTGGCGTTTAATCTCTAGCATCCTGGTTTCAACACACAAAACCACAGGGTCTGGCATTGAAAGTTAGGACTGATTTGCTTCTCTCGTTTCCTCATTTTGTCACACATTTTGCAATGCCATTTCCTTGTGCCACCCGCGCAGACTTGGGGGGCTTTGAGCGAGGTCTGTATGCTGAGAAGTGGGCACCATTCACCAAGGTGAGCCCGCTGTGTTCACCTCTTTGCTCCCACTCGATGCGTGGTCACTCCCTGTGTTCGTTGCACTGTATCGAGTTTCGTGGGACTCACTGCCACACGTCGCACTTGGTTTGAGGCATGTTTTCTTGCATGTGGTTGATCCCTTGAACGTCGCTTATATCCATGTTCTGTTGCTCGTGGCATGGCAGGAGTTGGCAGTGATGGTGGCGAGGGGGCGAGACGGGGAGATCAAGAGCTTTCCTGTTGTCGAGACAACCCACCGGTGAGCGGTGGTGAGAGGTTGTGAGAGGTTAGAGGCGGTGAGAGGTGAGAGGCGGTGAGAGTCGAGAGGCAGCCTTGCGTTGTCAAACTTGGAATGATATCTGAGATGGATCAAATCAGGATGAGTCTTGCGGGAATTGAACCTGTGACCTCGTACTCACTATCAACTCCCTTGTCCACTTGCATTGTCCCCTTCCCTGCCGCCCGCCCACGTGCTCACTAGAGACAACATCTGCAACACGGTGCTCGTGCCGGCCGGCGTGCCGCCCGCAGTGCAGCAGCAGGCGCTGCGAGTGGCCGAGCTGGCGGTCGGCTCGCTCGCCGGGGCGGGCGTTTTCGGCGTGGAGCTGTTCCTGATGGACGGCGACTCCGTCTTACTCAACGAGGTGGCGCCCCGGCCGCACAACAGCGGGCACTACAGCATAGAGGCGTGCCACGTGTCGCAGTACGAGCAGCACCTCAGGGCCGTGCTGGGGCTGCCTTTAGGGGATCCGTCTTTGAAGGTCGGCGCTGCTGCTATGATCAACATCCTGGGGGAAGCCGATGTGAGTGTGGGGGGGGAAGAAGGTGGGGGAAGGGGAAGGGTGGAAGGGTGGCGCAGGGGGAAGGGTGGAGGGGTGGGAGGGTGGCGTGGGGGGGAGGATGGCACAGGGCTGGTGTGGTTGTGGGGCTCTGGTGCTCTTGTCCCACCCCGGCCGCACAACAGCGGGCACTACAGCATAGAGGCGTGCCACGTGTCGCAGTACGAGCAGCACCTCAGAGCCGTGCTGGGACTGCCTCTCTTGGGGACCCGTCCCTGAAGGTTGGCGCCGCTGCGATGGTCAACATCCTGGGCGAGGCTGATGTGAGTGTTGGGGGGGAGAAGGGAGGAGGGAGAGGGAAGGGGAGGGGAGGGGAGGGGAGGGCAGGGGAGGGCAGGGGAGGGGAGGGGAGGGGAGGGGAGGGGAGGTGAGGGGAGGGGAGGGGAGGGGAGGGGAGGGGAGGGGAGGGGAGGGGAGGGGAGGGGAGGGGAGGGGAGGGGAGGGGAGGGGAGGGGAGGGGAGGGGAGGGGAGGGGAGGGCAGGGCAGGGCAGGGGAGGGGAGGGGAGGGGAGGGGAGGGAGGGAGGGGAGGGGAGGGGAGGAGAGGAGAGGAGAGGAGAGGGGAGGGCAGGGGAGGGGAGGGGAGGGGAGGGGAGGAGAGGGGAGGGGAGGGGAGGGGAGGGGAGGAGAGGGGAGGGGAGGGGAGGGGAGGAAAGGGCAGGGGAGGGGAGGAGAGGAGAGGAGAGGGGAGGGCAGGGGAGGGGAGGGGAGGAGAGGAGAGGAGAGGGGAGGGGAAGGGAGGGGAGGGAAGGGGAGGGGAGGGGGGTGGTGATGTGATTGTGGGGCTCTGATGCTCTTGAGATGGAGGCAAGGCTGATGTGAGTGGGGAGCTCTTGGGATCGAGGGGGGGCGATGCTAGTAGGGACCCTTTAGGCCAGGGGCAGGCAGACTTGACGAGGCTGAAGTGCGAGAGTGCGGCCTGATGGGATTCGGATGTGATGTGAGTGGGCGCTCATATGAGAAGGCGGCCTGATGGGATGCGCTGCGCTGCGCATGTGAAAATTCTTGCACTGCCTCTCTTCGTCTCTCAACCTCTCAACTTTTCTTCGCTCGTGCCTGCCTCTCGTGCCTGCCTCTCGTGCCTCTGATCTCAACCGTCCTCCCTCAGGGCGACGAGGGCTTTGAGATATCGCAGGCCATTCTGAAGCAGGCGCTGGTGGTGCCGGGGGCATCGATCCACTGGTACGACAAGTCAGGTCAGTGCTTTTACATGACGTGTCAGGTCACTGCTCATGTGACGATTCAGGTAATTGCTTATGTGCTTGTGTGGTGCCGGGGGCATCCATCCACTGGTACGACAAGTCAGGTTAGTGCTTGCAAGGGGAAGTTCAGGTCAGTCATTGCTTTTGTGACAAATCAAATCAGTGCTAATGTGACGAATCATTTCATTGCTAATGTGACGAATCAAATCAGTGCTTGTATGGCTTCCCCACCTCCCCCCCACCCCTTTCTTGCTTTCCTCCTCTCACCACCGTTCCCTTCGCCTGAATCTTCCTTTTTCTATTTTTCCACCAAATTACCCTTGGGCCCCCCTTTCCCTCCCCTTTCCCCGACTCCCTCCCCCCCCCTCCAGACGTGCGTGCAAAGCGCAAGATGGGGCACGTGACGGTGGTGGCGCCGACAGCACTCCCCCTCACTGCTACATCCCTTCACATCTTCCCCTCCCTCTCACCTCTTCTACCCCGCCCTCTCCCTCTTTTCCACCTTCCCCAGACATGCGTGCCAAGCGCAAGATGGGGCATGTGACGGTGGTGGCGCCAACAGTGCAGCAGGCAGTGCGGCGAATCAACGCCATCGTGCCACAAGCCATGGGGGATGGCCGGACCGGGGATGGGCAAGGTGAGCAGGGGTTGGGAGTGGTGGGAAAGGGTTGTAGAGGAGAGGAGAGGAGAGGAGAGGAGAGGCGTGGGTGGATAAGCGGGGGAGAGTGAAAGGAGGGAATGTATTGATGTGTCTATCAGTCATGGCTCTGTCGGTGGTGGCGCCAACAGTGCAGGAGGCAGTGCGGCGAATCAACGCCATCGTGCCACAAGCCATGGGGGATGGCCAGGCCGGGGACGGGCGAGGTGAGGAGGCGTCGTTGGGAGAGGTGAGAAGGGATACGGAGTGGTGGGTAGGAAAAGGGGAGGAGTTGGCAGTCTAGCTTACGTAAACGTGGTTGCAGTCATGGTTCTATCTGTAACAGATGGCCCCACCAATCATGGCCCCACCAATCATGGCCCCACCAATCATGGCCCCACCAATCATGGCCCCACCAATCATGGCCCCACCAATCATGGCCCCACCAATCATGGCGCCAACCAATCATGGCGCCAACCAATCATGGCGCCACCCAATCATGGCGCCACCCAATCATGGCGCCACCCAATCATGGCGCCACCCAATCATGGCCCCACCCAATCATGGCGCCACCCAATCATGGCCCCACCCAATCATGGCGCCACCCAATCATGGCCCCACCCAATCATGGGCTGACCCAATCATGGGCCCGCCAGGTATGAATCTTACGTGTTTCTAGCTCTCCAGGTGGCAATCATTAGAGAAAGCGACGCCGACCTATAAGTCCCTGATCTCTGCTCCCTCTCTCCGCTCGCTTAACCCCTCTCGCCGCCTCTCTTGCCCCCTCTCACCCCTTCCCACCGCTGCTCATCCCCTCTCACCCCCTCTTATCCCCTCGCACCACACACTCTGCAGCCCCACAGGTGGCGATCATAATGGGCAGTGACTCGGACCTACCGGTCATGAAGGGGGCGGCGCAGATCCTCGAATTCTTCCAAGTGCCCTTCGAGGTGTGTGTGTGGTAGGCGTGTGGGGTGTGTATGTGGGTAGTGAGTGGCGAGAGGTGTGTGTGTTGGTGGCGTGTGACGTGTGTGGGTCGCCGCCAGTCATGAAGGGCGCGGCTCAGATCATCGACTTCTTCCAAGTGCCCTTCCAGGTTAGCGGTGGTGAGCGCTGTGAGGTGAGCGGTGCAAGGTTGGAATGATCAATGGCTAGAGCCGTTGACTCGACTCGTCGGCCCATCGCATTCCTGACCGCATGTTCTCGCTTCGCTGCTCTTGCCCTCTCTCACTTCCCACTCATCCCCTTCCCCGCTTCCCCTTCCCCTTCCCCCCTTCCACATCCCCTTCCCCCTTTCCGCTTCCGCTCCCTCCGCCCCTTCTACCGGCTGACCAGAGTGTCACTGGCAGCCCATCGCACGCCAGACCGCATGTTCTCATTCCTTCCACAACCATCGCACGCCAGACCGCATGTTCTCATTCCTTCCACAACCATCGCACGCCAGACCGCATGTTCTCATTCCTTCCACAACCATCGCACGCCAGACCGCATGTTCTCATTCCTTCCACAACCATCGCACGCCAGACCGCATGTTCTCATTCCTTCCACAACCATCGCACGCCAGACCGCATGTTCTCATTCCTTCCACAACCATCGCACGCCAGACCGCATGTTCTCATTCCTTCCACAACCATCGCACGCCAGACCGCATGTTCTCATTCCTTCCACAACCATCGCACGCCAGACCGCATGTTCTCATTCCTTCCACAACCATCGCACGCCAGACCGCATGTTCTCATTCCTTCCACAACCATCGCACGCCAGACCGCATGTTCTCATTCCTTCCACAACCATCGCACGCCAGACCGCATGTTCTCATTCCTTCCACAACCATCGCACGCCAGACCGCATGTTCTCATTCCTTCCACAACCATCGCACGCCAGACCGCATGTTCTCATTCCTTCCACAACCATCGCACGCCAGACCGCATGTTCTCATTCCTTCCACAACCATCGCACGCCAGACCGCATGTTCTCATTCCTTCCACAACCATCGCACGCCAGACCGCATGTTCTCATTCCTTCCACAACCATCGCACGCCAGACCGCATGTTCTCATTCCTTCCACAACCATCGCACGCCAGACCGCATGTTCTCATTCCTTCCACAACCATCGCACGCCAGACCGCATGTTCTCATTCCTTCCACAACCATCGCACGCCAGACCGCATGTTCTCATTCCTTCCACAACCATCGCACGCCAGACCGCATGTTCTCATTCCTTCCACAACCATCGCACGCCAGACCGCATGTTCTCATTCCTTCCACAACCATCGCACGCCAGACCGCATGTTCTCATTCCTTCCACAACCATCGCACGCCAGACCGCATGTTCTCATTCCTTCCACAACCATCGCACGCCAGACCGCATGTTCTCATTCCTTCCACAACCATCGCACGCCAGACCGCATGTTCTCATTCCTTCCACAACCATCGCACGCCAGACCGCATGTTCTCATTCCTTCCACAACCATCGCACGCCAGACCGCATGTTCTCATTCCTTCCACAACCATCGCACGCCAGACCGCATGTTCTCATTCCTTCCACAACCATCGCACGCCAGACCGCATGTTCTCATTCCTTCCACAACCATCGCACGCCAGACCGCATGTTCTCATTCCTTCCACAACCATCGCACGCCAGACCGCATGTTCTCATTCCTTCCACAACCATCGCACGCCAGACCGCATGTTCTCATTCCTTCCACAACCATCGCACGCCAGACCGCATGTTCTCATTCCTTCCACAACCATCGCACGCCAGACCGCATGTTCTCATTCCTTCCACAACCATCGCACGCCAGACCGCATGTTCTCATTCCTTCCACAACCATCGCACGCCAGACCGCATGTTCTCATTCCTTCCACAACCATCGCACGCCAGACCGCATGTTCTCATTCCTTCCACAACCATCGCACGCCAGACCGCATGTTCTCATTCCTTCCACAACCATCGCACGCCAGACCGCATGTTCTCATTCCTTCCACAACCATCGCACGCCAGACCGCATGTTCTCATTCCTTCCACAACCATCGCACGCCAGACCGCATGTTCTCATTCCTTCCACAACCATCGCACGCCAGACCGCATGTTCTCATTCCTTCCACAACCATCGCACGCCAGACCGCATGTTCTCATTCCTTCCACAACCATCGCACGCCAGACCGCATGTTCTCATTCCTTCCACAACCATCGCACGCCAGACCGCATGTTCTCATTCCTTCCACAACCATCGCACGCCAGACCGCATGTTCTCATTCCTTCCACAACCATCGCACGCCAGACCGCATGTTCTCATTCCTTCCACAACCATCGCACGCCAGACCGCATGTTCTCATTCCTTCCACAACCATCGCACGCCAGACCGCATGTTCTCATTCCTTCCACAACCATCGCACGCCAGACCGCATGTTCTCATTCCTTCCACAACCATCGCACGCCAGACCGCATGTTCTCATTCCTTCCACAACCATCGCACGCCAGACCGCATGTTCTCATTCCTTCCACAACCATCGCACGCCAGACCGCATGTTCTCATTCCTTCCACAACCATCGCACGCCAGACCGCATGTTCTCATTCCTTCCACAACCATCGCACGCCAGACCGCATGTTCTCATTCCTTCCACAACCATCGCACGCCAGACCGCATGTTCTCATTCCTTCCACAACCATCGCACGCCAGACCGCATGTTCTCATTCCTTCCACAACCATCGCACGCCAGACCGCATGTTCTCATTCCTTCCACAACCATCGCACGCCAGACCGCATGTTCTCATTCCTTCCACAACCATCGCACGCCAGACCGCATGTTCTCATTCCTTCCACAACCATCGCACGCCAGACCGCATGTTCTCATTCCTTCCACAACCATCGCACGCCAGACCGCATGTTCTCATTCCTTCCACAACCATCGCACGCCAGACCGCATGTTCTCATTCCTTCCACAACCATCGCACGCCAGACCGCATGTTCTCATTCCTTCCACAACCATCGCACGCCAGACCGCATGTTCTCATTCCTTCCACAACCATCGCACGCCAGACCGCATGTTCTCATTCCTTCCACAACCATCGCACGCCAGACCGCATGTTCTCATTCCTTCCACAACCATCGCACGCCAGACCGCATGTTCTCATTCCTTCCACAACCATCGCACGCCAGACCGCATGTTCTCATTCCTTCCACAACCATCGCACGCCAGACCGCATGTTCTCATTCCTTCCACAACCATCGCACGCCAGACCGCATGTTCTCATTCCTTCCACAACCATCGCACGCCAGACCGCATGTTCTCATTCCTTCCACAACCATCGCACGCCAGACCGCATGTTCTCATTCCTTCCACAACCATCGCACGCCAGACCGCATGTTCTCATTCCTTCCACAACCATCGCACGCCAGACCGCATGTTCTCATTCCTTCCACAACCATCGCACGCCAGACCGCATGTTCTCATTCCTTCCACAACCATCGCACGCCAGACCGCATGTTCTCATTCCTTCCACAACCATCGCACGCCAGACCGCATGTTCTCATTCCTTCCACAACCATCGCACGCCAGACCGCATGTTCTCATTCCTTCCACAACCATCGCACGCCAGACCGCATGTTCTCATTCCTTCCACAACCATCGCACGCCAGACCGCATGTTCTCATTCCTTCCACAACCATCGCACGCCAGACCGCATGTTCTCATTCCTTCCACAACCATCGCCTCCCCATCCACTCCCTTTCCTGCACCCCCCCACCCCCCGTTCCCCCCTTCCCCCCTCCTCTTTACCCCCTCTCCCTCCCCTCCCCCCTTCTCCAGCTAACCATAGTGTCGGCCCATCGCACGCCGGACCGCATGTTCTCATTCGCGCAGTCAGCACACACACGGGGCATCCGAGTCATCATTGCTGGCGCCGGCGGTGCCGCCCACCTGCCAGGTGAAAACAACAGAGAAGTGGCAACTTGCTGCCATCTATTCACCTCTTCACGCCTCTCGTCCTCCTCCGCGACGCACCTTTCACTTGCCACCCTTCTCTCACCTCCTCCTTGCAATATGAAAATTGTGGGTATAGAGACGACTTTTGAGGCGCCTCAAAAGTCTGTTCACCTCTTTTCCGCCCCTCGTCCTCCTCCTTGACGCACCTTCCTCTTGCCACTCTTCTCTCTCCTCTTCCTTGCGTTGTCATTTCTCCTGTACGCGGCTCCAACACGCCACCTCACACAATCTTTGCACTGAAAATGAACTGTTCAGCCCCAGATCAACCCCCAGCAACTGAACAAGACTTGTAATTCTCCCCCAACATCAACCTTCAACCCATCCAGTCCAGCCACTCTCGAAACGCCTCAAAACCAACCCCAAGTATAACCCCTTCCCCCCCTTCCCCGTCCCGCTTCTGTGTGCCCATTCCCCTCCTCCCTCTCCCCTCCCTCCACCGACCACCAGGCATGGTAGCATCAATGTCACCTCTCCCAGTGATTGGCGTGCCAGTCAAGGGCTCGGCTCTGGGTGGCATGGACTCTCTCCTCTCCATCGTTCAGGTCAGTCCTGGGAAAACTGCTTCTGCTTTTGATTAAACTCAGGACTATAGTGCAGGGTGATAGTTTGAGAGAATAGCGTGGCATGCCTTTTCCTACTATTATTGATCCTGTTTGAACTCTGATTTGATCGAATTAATCACCCATAGCTTTTGAATAAATCCAAATCCATCTGTCTTTTCACCCTATCATTCGCTGTCTCGACTGCTTTCCTCCTCCACTTCCAAACACACGTCCCTCTTTCTTCCTCGTCTGTCTCTCCTGTCCAATCACAAGATGCCACGTGGCATCCCAGTGGCCACAGTGGCGATCAACAACTCTGTCAACGCTGCTCTGCTGGCCGTGCGCATGCTGGGAGCCTCCGATCCTGCCCTCCTGGACCGGTACGTGTTTATATTTCAATTTTCCAGTAGACTTCTCGGAAATTAGCGTGCCGTGAACATTCATGCACAGCCTCCAGCATATTTGGGGGTACCGTATGAGTTGGTCTTGAAAGATCGGCATGTGGTCAGCATTGCACGCTTTCAAGTCTCGGGTGGTGTCCAGGTGTGTCCAGGTGTGTCCAGGTGTGCCCAGGTGTGCCCAGGTGTGCCTAGTTATGTTTTACAAGGCAGGGTTTCCTTGCGTTCCTTCACTTTCCCTCCATCATCCCCCTTCCCTCTTCCTCCCCCTCCACCTCTCTCCGCGCCACCATCAAAGCATGGTAGCGTACCAGACGGGTCTAGAGGGCATGGTGCTGGAGAAGGCAGCCCCCTCCCCACCCTAAACCCGTCCACTTCTCTCCACCCCCCTCCAATCCTCCCTACCCCGTTCCCCGCAGCATGGTGGCATACCAGAAGGATCTAGAGGGCATGGTGTTGGAGAAGGCAGGGCAGCTGGAGACAGACGGGTGGGAGCAGTACCTCAACGTCCTCTCCTCCGACTAAGTCCTCCATGTTGCTCCAAGGCTATCATCGAAACATCCCTCTTCTACTAAGGTCCTTCAGCTTCCTTAGAGAGCAGGAGGAACAGCAGAGGAAAGGCAGCAGTGAAGAAGAATCTAGATGGCATGACTTGCCTGACCGAGCTGCTTCCGATCCGAGCTGCTTCGGGAAGTCCGGATTTGCTGGCGTGTGTGGCTGGGCTGCTGATTTGTGAGACACTGAATGCACACGTCTTGGTTATTTGCGTTGTGTTGTGATTTTTGGGCATGGAATGGAACCGATTACCAGTTGCGTTGCCTGGTATGGCCCTCGCAGTGTTCCTGTCCTGTGCAGTTCCGTCTTATTGATATGCTGCTGAAAGCAAATCGCTGTAGTGGTCTCTGGAGATGCAAATCTTATAACTGTTTGCAATGGTGTACGCGTGTCCGCACAGAATTTCCAGCTGAAAAGGCACAACACACAACACAACCAACCAGCTCCACAGGACAGCATGAAGCCTGGTACAGTTTTCCTGACTAGGATGCAGAGAACTCGTCACTGACAGCTTTCTTATTACAGCCAATTCAACCTTTCTCATTCAAAATCCTCCAGTCCTGCATGAGACTATCGAGTGAGCCCAAGCAAACAAGCAGGTGAATTGTGGTACCTACTTGAAGTTAAGATACTTGGCATTAAGACACTTGGTGACCTCTTCACACAGAATCTTCCACCTGTCACCATGCTCACTGTTCTTATCCGGATGGTAATGCAGAATGGCCATTCGCAGCGACACCTTTGCATCATCCGCGTTCAACGACGGACACTTGAGATTCCCATTCCCATTCTTAGGTGGATACTTGCTATATACATGAGTCAGCAGCTGCTTCCACCCGCTCTCACTCATCTTAGAGAGGGTTTCAAGCTCCGGTTTCATCTTGGCCAGCAGGGGTTCCCGCTCCTTCTCGCGCTGCTGCTCCTCCTGCCGCCTCACCTTGGCCTGGTGGCGGTCGATGGCTCGCACCGAGGCAGAGTACCAGGTGGAAAGAGCAAGCTTGGGGTGGGACTGCGTGGCTGAGAGCACGAGCTGTGGAGAACGAGAAGGGGGGGGGAGAGGAGGAATGGGGGGTTGGGGGAGAGCGGAGGGGCAAGTGAGAGACACAGGCCTGGTGGCGGTCAATGGCTCGCACCGAGGCAGAGTACCAGGTGGAAAGAGCAAGCTTGGGGTGGGATTGCGTGGCCGAGAGCACGAGCTGTGGAGGGTGGAGGGGAATGGATACTGAAAGGCCCGGGCCTGGTGGCGGTCGGTGGCTCGCACAGAGGCAGAGTACCAGGGGGAGAGAGAGCGAGGGAGGGGTGGGATTGCACTGCGGAGAGCACGAGCTGTTGAGAGTGGGGTAGGGAGAGGAGTGGGGTGGGGAAGGGAGCACTGTGTCAGAAGATTTACCTGCACAGCCCGTTGGTGGTAGCGATGACCAATGTCGTCCATCCGCAGTGCCACGTCATACACATGCCCCAGCCAGCTCAGCGCATACGCCTCCATGTCCACGTGGCGCTCCCTCGTCAGCACCACCGCCTCCTTGAACCCGTCCACTGCCGCCCACAGCAGCGCCACGTCAGCATCACTACCGCCCGGACTACCGCCATCCGTGCTCCCCCCATCTTCTGCTTTTGCTGCTGCTTGTGCATAGAGGGCCATTGTGCGGACTAGAGTTTCGACCGACTCACACAGACAGCTGCTGGTAAAGCGGGCGGTTTGCAGTTCCTTGACTTGATTGCGCAGGGCGGAGAGGGTGGCTTGTGTTACCGACTGGTTACCACACGACCTGCCTGCACACACGAAAAACCATCGGACGAGGCATGGGAGTCGAGTCGAGGGTTGTAGTGGACAAGCAAGGACAAGGAGCCACAGAAAACAGGTCCACTCACCTGTACTGAACCCCCACCAAAGGGTGACCCAACATTTGCTGAGAAATTCGCTGAACTTTCACCCATCCATCACCACGACTCACCCGCCAAGTTTCTCTCAAGCGTGAGCAGGGCATCGTCCAGCAGGCGGAGTGGCCGCTCACACTCTGCAAAGCACCGCGCACTCTCCCTCTGCACCACCAGCCTTGCCGGACCCTTCCCCCCTGCTCCCAGACTGATACCGTTAACCCCCGCCGTGATCCCGGCCGCAGTGGTTGGCTGGGGGGAGTGCGAGCAGCGGGCGAGGTTGATAGTGAGCAGCGATTGGCCCTTTTCCAGGAGGAACTGAGAGAATGCCACGTGGAAGGCTGCAAAGGCTTCTATGTGGCGCGTGGATGTTGCTGTCCAATCAACTGGCGGTGCACGCAAGGGGAGGCGTAGACAGCAGCAGTTTTGCAGTCTCTGAGAAGTCAGAAAATTAACCCTGACACTGCTGCTTTCCAGCCAGGATGAAGATGGCACAAGGGCACGAAGAAATAAGTGTGAAAGGTAAAGTTCGAGAGAATCCCTCCAATCAGAAAAAAAAAAAAAAAAAAAGGCTGCAATGGTCACTCAAGGAAAACAAAGAAGTGAGAACTGTGCGAACCTGTGTTGGGGTCCTTATCCCCAAAGTGCTGCTTCCAGCTGTCCCGTGCGCGCATCTCACCAACGCACCCATCACCACCCACAGCAACCGCTCTCCATTGTCCCGCACACAGGCACCTGCTACAGATGTGCAGATGCCCCCCTCCCTGCCCCCCGTGCTGCTACTAGCAACGCGGGCAAACGCCGTGATTTGGGAGATCACATCAGTGAAAGAACCCAGAACCTTCTGCTGCCACTCCTCCGGCTTGGCTGGAGCGCTGCGAGCTGGACGGTTGCTGCCGCCCTTTGTCGCCCTATTCCGTGCCTCGCAACTGCCAAAAAGAAGGGCCAGGCAGAACGCTTTGACAGCCTCCTTATAGTGCTCCTCGATTTGCTTATAGTCCCACTCCTTCCTCCATGGCTCGGCGCATGGCTCTCACCATGACCCGTTCCGATGAAGCAGCGTCCATCACAGGGGGCTTGTACGCCTTATAAGCATCTGCATGACAAGCTGCCAGGGCGGACGAAACCGTCGCTACGTTCTTGCACAACGAGGACAGCTCATCAGCGGACGGCTGAGATTCTGCCACGTGGCGGCGCAGTGCCTCGCGGTACTTGGAGAGAGCGATGTTGAGGCGGCTGCGCTTGAGAAGCGGGTCGATGCCGTGGGTGAAAGCGCTGGCGTAAAAGGCGTTGCCCTTGCTGCGAAGTGCCACCGTGGTGCTTAAGGATGGAGCAGCCATGGCGGATTTGCTGCTGCCCGCCTGCTTCTCTGGAGCCTGGTTGAGCCTGGTGCTTCAGACAAAATTTTACCACACCTGCCCCTGCGCGGTACTGCTGCACTTGCTGATTGTGATTGGCACTTGCAACCAACTCCACGGATGCCTCGAACACGCTTCACGCTTCACGCTTCACGCTTCACGCTTCACGTGACTTACGATTGGATCCCTGCGCACAGTCACCTTGGTGATTGCATCACTTGCAATCAACTCCACAAATGACTCCGGCGATCACACGCTTCACGATCCCTGCGCGATACTGCGGCCTGGATGCACGCACTGACTCATTGCAGTGTACATCAGAGACTATCTGGTAGATACACATCTCAACGGCCTGGAATTCCAATGCATATCAACAAGACGAACGGCCATGTGCCCGTGATATCTCAATGCGGACCCTCGTGACGAGACTCGAGCCACCGAACCGGCTCCCCCTCCGTCTAAACTCGCGCCTCGACTTGCGTCAGAGGCCGCACAGCAGGAGTCGCACACGAGCCCGAATTTCCTCTCCCCCATGGAAATTCGCGACGCGAGCAGACGTGAGCACGGCGTGGCATGGACGTTGGGTGGAGAGCCCTGGTAGGGAGCGCGAGCATGGTGTTGTGAAGCAGTGACAATAACCATGCTGATTTGATCCCAAGCCCATGGAGCTCCATAATAAATGATCGAGCCTATCGGGCCCAGCATCCACACCTGCACTGCACAGCGGTTTCCCCGCGGCGGCTTCACCTGGCTGTCCTCGTCGCCGTAACTAACGGTACAACATGAGCGATGCGATGCACCCCATTTGTCGTCACGGCGCCGCAAACCTTGGGTCATGCATACTGCGTGTGCGGCGCGCGTGCGAGAAAAACGCAGTTCTCCAACAAAAGCGCTGCGGCATTGCAATGCAACTGTGTGGTGTAGGAAATCATGGTTCGCTAATCTCGAGGGGCAAGCTCGCAACGAATATGGCTCGAGTGTTGACAATCGGATTTGAAAAGCCGGAGTGTCGACAATCCCAACCCAAGGACCTTCCCCAAAATGTTTGCTGTTTGCTTATTGCTTCGGTGACGCAATCAGAAGAAATCAGTGTACTTTGTTCTCACCACAAATGCCAGTCACTAAACTGAAGGAATTTACCACCTTGCCTTAATTGGCACTGTCATGTATTGTATGTGTGAGTACATTCATATGTTGTGCCTGGATCTATGTGACTGTCAGCTAGTAGGATGTGGTGTAAGGGAGCAAATGGGGGAAATGCAAGGCAAGGAGGGGTGGGTTGGGGGGAGAGGGGGCGGAGGGCGTGGGGTTGGGAAGGGGAGGTGGCCAAAAGGCAAGAAAGAAATAGGGGGAAGGGAGATGGCTGCAGGGAAGGGTAGGCAGGTGCGGGAGGGAAGGGGTGAAGAAAGGGGAGAGGGGAAGAAAATGACGAAACTGTGTGTGAAGAGACAGGGGGAGGGGAGAGGGTGGAGGGCTGAGGAGGGAGGGAAGAGAAACTGATAGAGGAAAGGCTATAATGAATTTGTGGTATGAGGGGAACGGAGGGGAGGGGACGATGAATTGGGGGAGGAAGGGCCGGGGAAGGACAATAACGACCGTAGAGAGGGGGGAAAGAAGCGTTCGAATGACCGAGGAGAGAGCGAAGCGGGGGAAGGGCAAGCGGGAGGGGGGAATGGGGGATGATGGAAAGGTGCTCAAAATGGTAACTTTGTATCCAGTAAGAATGCAGACGTCTAGGAACACACATGTAAGCATAACAATTGTTGTTATTCCGGTATGGCACAAATTGCTGGTACACAGGAAGCTGACGGACAGAGGCGGAGATGCTTCAGAGCAACGTAGAACGTGGCAGCGGCAGAAGCAGCAGCAAGAGCTTACCATAGGCTAGATAAACACAAACACCCGGCCAGTGCTTGCTTCGCCTGCCTTACACCACACTATCCCACGAACACATCCTCCCTTCCCTGACCATCTCCACCAATCTGCTTCACTTTCCAGCCAATGAGTCCTGCAAGCCCTGCTATCGCCACCCCAGCATCCGTCCCTTCATCCCCTCAACGAATCTAAGCATCTGACTCCTCCTCCTCTCCCTCCTCCTCGTCCTCCTCCCCGTCTACAAACAGAACGTCATCGCCGAACCGTTGGTTCAGGTACTCAAGCCCGGACTCCGTCACCAGCAGCTTATCGGCGCGCAGCACGTCGTAGATGTTCAGCGCGTTCGGCGTCACCACCTTCAGATTCTGGATGTTCCGCGTCGACAGCAGCAGGTTCTCCGAAGCTTCGCCGGTGAGTAGCAGCGCGTGGTCCTTCTTGTAATCCACGCCCCACCGCGCGAGCGCCGCGACGAAGTCCTTAGTCTTAGGCGCCGCGACCTTGTCGTGCACGTCCTCGATCACGATGAAGCTCGCGCCGTCATTCGCGGTCGCCGCGTTCTGCAGAGCGGTTCCCACGGCGAGCAGCTTCTCCTTCTTGTTGATCTTAATAGTCCAGTCCTTGGGTTTAGGCCCGAACACCACACCACCACCGGGACGCAGCGGCGTCCGCTGCGATCCACGGCGAGCGCTGCCAGTTCCCTTCTGCTTCATCGGCTTCCGCCCGCCTCCCCGCACCTCCGCGCGGGTCTTCGTGCTTGCGGTACCCGCGCGCTTGTTCTGCATGTAGGTGACCACGGCGCGGTGGACAACGGCTTTTGCCGTCTCCGGCCGTGCCGTCCGCAGGTTCAGCTCCGCCGTCTTGCCGGAGTTTGCGCCGTCCATTGTCAGGACCGGCAGAACTGCCGGGCCGGCAGCTGCTGGTGCCTCTGCGACGGCCGCGACGGCTACCAGCCGCTTGGAGGCGGCGTTCGGAAAAGCTACATTGGAGCGGCTAATGCGCGCTTGAGAAGAGACAGCAGGGCTGACCTTGAGCCCTTGGAAGGACTTGAAGGACACGGAGGATGGACAGGCGAGCGCCATGTCCGGCAATGCGAAAACCCTAATTCGACAAGTCAGGGTGGGAGAGGAGTGCACGAGGTTGGCGAAAAGGTGAGGGTGGAGAAGAGGGAGGGACGGGGAAGGGGGGGGGGGGTTGGGGTGGGTCAGAGAGAGTTGTGAGTCGTGATTGTGAGGAGGGAGGACTGGTCGGGACGAGGGAAAAGAGATGTTTGCGGGGAATCGGTGGTGAGGGATTGGAAGAGTTTAGAAAGAGATGGGATAAGATTGGGAGAATCCCGAAAGGAGTTGGAGGAAGGCGGGGAGATGGATGGGTCATACAAATGGGATGACGGGGGAGGGACATGTCGTCAGACGGAACTGTCTATCATTGCCACGTCACGGACCGTGACGTGTCACCCGAAAAGAAACCCAACAGTTCAATATTTGTTGGAATAAAAGTAAGGATAACGTTTCTGAATGAGAGTGTATTATGGATGCTTCTTAATGTACTTAGTTCGTTTTGTTTCCAGAGTATAAGATGAGCTTGTGGCGGGTATGATAAGGTGGAGCGGTGTTGCCATGTGAGTCAATCCCAATGGATAGTGGAAGCTGCTAGAAGCTCATTTGAGTGGTTGGAAACACACAAACTTCGCCGGTATGAATGGATCCCCTCCAATAGCACTCCAGAGGGTCGAGTCGAGTTTGTCGAGTTTTGACGGGGTGTGATGTGCGACACGAGTCACGAAGAGTGCTGCTGATCACCAACCAACTTGCCTCAACCAGGCGAAAGTGGGAATCCACCGAATTTCCGCAACCAAGTTCCAGCACGGCACGAGGATCGCAGAAATATCGTCAATTTCGCAACCAATCAAATTACTACGAAGGAACTCGAAGCCCCGTGGCGAGCTGAGCTGGAGCCTAGAACAGCACTAGAACGAACAACTCGACTTTTTCCCCAACGGCAGTCGTCCTCCTGGTCCTGTTCTTCACCGTCATGAATCTTTCCCTGATCACCCATCACTCCCCTTCGCTGTGCCATGCTCTCTCACGCTCACCTTCACCTCTTACGGTACCTTCACCGAGCAGGTAACCTGGCCCTAGAAATCACCCTTCGTTTATACCTTGTCTGCCCACTAGACACTACCCTGCAATAAAAATATTGTTGGATTTGCCTGCCATAGAGATGACTTGGCCCTCCCCTCCACTTCCTCTTTGCAGCAGACGCTCTCTAGCTGAGGACTACAGGTCACGTCGCCTAGTTTGATCTTGCCGTAGCACCTCCTGTCAACTTCGTCGCGCCTTTCGAAAGTAGAGGCATTTTTCGTGGTTTAGCGCCGTTTTCTCAGGCATCGCGTAGCTGGTATGGCCTCCCGTAGGTCACGGGGAATCTTCAGACCCACAGCACCTCAGCCGTACGACGCAAACTCATGTCGAGGAAAGCCATTTCGGCACAGCGGAGAGTTCGCTCCCTCCTTCACGACTATCGAGTTCGAGATTATAAAGGAGTACCAGGGTGACGTCCGGAAGCCCACGTGGCTTATATCGGAGACAGGCGAAACGTACTCGTTTGAAGTCCAAAGGGACGGGTTGCGCCAGGAGGAGGTGGAGGTGGTCGTCGAACGCGTCGAGTCCAGTGAACCTGGACGATCGGGCTCGCGTTGCTCAAACGGTTGCGTAAATCAGGGAGCCGGTTCTGATCGGCTTGCGGGTCGGAGCAGCGGAGGGGGAGCCTGCGGAATGAGGGGAATCTCTTCCGCTGACGTGGACGGCGATCCTGATTTGTGCCGTGATGGTGCTCTTCTGACCATTTTTTGCTCGCGTCAATGCGAGCGCTCGCTGCTGCCAGCACCGCCAGGCACGAGCTCTTTCTGCAACAGCTGCAGCAGCAGCAGCATTCATTCGTCGATATCTAACCCGTGGAAGTTCGGGTGCCGGTTTAAGTTACCGTTTGACGCGAGTCCGGAGCGCGCGACGGCGGCGCACACGGTGGGCTCGCTGACCGTGACCGTGCCGCGATTGTCCTGGTCGAGCCCGTGGCTGCGCGTTCCGCACATCCGGTGGGGCGCCTGGAACATGCAGATCGCGTCGGCGCCGCCGCAGCATCCGGCGCTGGACGCGGCGGACAATGCGGCGAGAAACGCGCCCGAGAGCATGTGCGCAAGTTGGATCGGCAGCGCCTGTAGCAGCGGCGCGAGCGGTTCGAACGGATGGCAAGGGTCCCAATCGCAACGGTCATATTCGGCGACCGCGGGCCCATCCGCAGCAGCCGGATGCGCAACAGCGTGCGCTACGGATGGCATGGCCTCTCATCCGCAACATCGCGCCGAATGTGGGGGAGCGGGCTCTTGTGAGTCTTCGTCGGGGGAAACGAGCGGAACGCGAATGTGGGGAGCAGCGCGGGGATGGGGGGGCACCGGAGAAGGTGAATCTTGCTCGTCGTTTTCCAGCTTCAGCCAGTCGCGAGGCATGTTTCATGAGCCACGAAACGGGTTACCACCGTCGCAACATGACCAGTTATCGCAGGCAACAGGTGCAGCAGGCTCCTGCTTCCAGCTAGAAGACGTAGATGATGATAATATGGAAATGTGACACTAGCGAAACAGGTCCTAGAATATTGTACATTCATCATGCTCATGTTCTGGCTCCTCATTCATAGCCTTGGTACATTGCATGCATGGCTCCAGTACATAGCTGAATCAACTCAACTCTCACTCCCACACAGCTGCCGGAAGTTTATTAATCGATCATAATGGCTAGCATTGACTACGTCAATAATGAAATGTAAAGTGTGAAGTGGTGGTGAAACAGCTCGCTCGGTTCATTCTGCACTCGTCACCTTTCGCCACCCTAGTTCGGCGAATTCAGCCCTCGTCAACTTTCGCAAACCTAATTTCAAGTTTAGTAAACATGAAAATTTGCCATTCTAGACTCGGGCTTTAAACACCTACGTTATGTTGGCCTATCTGAAGAGCATTTTGAGCTCGTTGATCCTTGTGCTGCGCGCGCCATCGTCCATAAGCGCTCCCTGCACCATCTGATCCTTGCGCAGCTGCACCTTCTGCATGCGCTCCTCTACTGAGTCGCGCACAATGAAGCGCGTTACTGTAACGGGGCGAGTCTGCCCTATGCGGTGCACACGCATCACTGCCTGCTCCTCCACTGACGGGTTCCACCAGGGGTCCTGAGGGGTTGGGTAGGGTGGAGCAAGGCAAATGACGGGCAGAGGGGGTGAATTGATTTGCCAAACGAAGTACCTGTACGGTACCGTATGTGTTGCCTCCATTGATTAACTCCACCATAGTTCCTCAGAAGGGCGGCAAGATAGGTGGTTCTTTCAGTAGCCTTGAATAAACAAAGCTCCTACACTGCTTACAATGGTCGATGGTAACTAAATTAAGGAGAGAGTATACCACGAGAAAGGCATGTTAGGGGTTTTGGAGCGTACCATGACGAATGCATGTGAGGCAGCAGTGAGGTTGAGCCCCACACCGCCCGCCTTGAGTGACACCAGCAACACCTCCACCTTGGGATTATCCTTCAACTCACTGATAGCCCGTAACACGTACCATGACGAAGGCATGTGAGGCAGCAGTGAGGTTGAGCCCCACGCCGCCCGCCTTGAGCGACACCAGCAACACCTCCACCTTGGGATTATCCTTCAACTCGTTTATCGACCGCTCCCGCTGCTGCTGCGACATGCTGCCGTCCAGCCGCACATACGGCACCTTGGCCCTGCATGCATGCACTCACACAGGGATGGGGAGAGAGAGAGAAGTGAGGATGAGGAGAGCCACCCCCATGCAGCACATCTGCTGCTCTCGCCAGCCACCACACACACACCATCCTTGCCCTGCACACACACTGCACACACACCGCACACACACCGCACACACACCGCACACACACCGCACACACACCGCACACACACCGCACACACACCGCACACACACCGCACACACACCGCACACACACCGCACACACACCGCACACACACCGCACACATGCACGCTGCACTCACGGCGACTTGGCCCTGAATGTACTGTTACTACTAAGGGTACATTCCGCTGAAGACATGTCCCTTAAGTACGCGTCACAAAGGCAGTGTACCACTCTGTACCACTCTCCACCGCACTGTATCTAGTCGTTTGACGCGTACTTAAGGAACATGTCTTCAGCGGAATGTACTTTAAGTACCCCCTCTCACACATCTCTCCGTTCCCTCTCACGACCGTGTTTGCTTTGCACTATTCTTCACTTTGTAAAAGCAATCGCCAACACGTTGAGAAACGATATGACTTCTGAGTCAACTCAAAGGCCCCGTGCGCTCGTCTGTGCTTGTCCTGTCTCTCTGCAACACAAATCCCTTTTCACACCTTTTGAATGCGATCTCCAGCAAGTCAAGAAACGCCGTCCATTGGCTGAAAACCACACTCTTCTCCCCTCCTCCTCCCCCATTCGCTCCCTGCCGAGCCGATGCCGCCCGGATCTCCCCCAGGCACTGTAGCAGCTGCCGGACCTTCACAGAGTCCTGCCAGCTGGCTTCCACGTCCAATGAGAAGCGGCTCGCACGTGGCACTGTGATGAGCTGGGAGCGCATGATTGGCCGACTGGATTGGGAGGGTTGGTAGGAGGGAAGCATGTTGGGGAATCGCAGGGGAAATTGGTTATTGATTCGACTCAAGACGCGTGTATTGGCAACACAGGGGGGATTTGTTTATGGTTGACTAAAAAAAAGGGTATAGGGGCAGCACAGGAGGGATTGTGTTTAGGAAAGAAAGCTGGGGAATAAGTGAGATGGGACGTAGCACTATCTCTTCAAAGGTTATCATGCAGCTACCCAAACCGAGTTCCGTTCACTAGAGAATACGTTAGATAATAATCAATTCAAAGAAGCCACAGGCACACGTACCGGCAGACAGGACAAGGGCCGCCAGTGCCCGAAGGTCTCCAGGCGGTGAGAAGGCACTCCCGGCATGCTATGTGCGCACAGGGCATAAACACTGCATCCTCTGCTGACCTTTAAATAGACTGTAAAAAAAGACACGTACCGGCAGACAGGGCAAGGGCCGCCAGTGCCCGAGGGTCTCCAGGCGGTGAGGAGGCACTCCCGGCACGCCACGTGCGCACAGGGCATGAACACCGCATCCTCTGCTGCCTCCAAACACACCGGACACTCGTCCCCTCAAGCTACAGGCATACATACCGGCACACGGGACAAGGGCCGCCAGTGCTTGAAGGTCGCCAGGCAGTGAGAAGGCACTCCCGGCACGCTATGTGCGCACAGGGCATGAACACCGCATCCTCTGCTGACCTTTGAATTGACCGTCAAGAAAAGACACGTACCGGCACACAGGGCACGGGCCGCCAGTGCCCGAGGGTCTCCAGGCGGTGAGGAGGCATTCCCGGCACGCTATGTGCGCACAGGGCATGAACACCGCATCCTCTGCTGCCCTTTGACCTACTAGAAAGATGCACACGTACCGGCACACGGGGCAAGGGCCATTGACTGAAGGTCTCCAGGCAGTGACGAGGCATTCCCGGCACGCTATGTGCGCACAGGGCATGAACACCGCATCCTCTGCCGCCTCCAAACACACCGGACACTCGTCCCCTCCCTGCGTTGCCCCCTCTCTCCTCCTCTTGAGGCCTTCTATTACTGACTGCACATACTCCCGCGATGGGCCGCTGTGAGATTCGTCACACCCATTGGGACCACTGCCTGCTTCTCCCCATGCCTCTGCACCTGCAGCAGCATCAGCAGCAACGTTGCTGCCAGCACCACCACCAGCGGCACCAGCAGCAGCAGCAGCACTTGCTGCTCCCGGTGAGGAAGACGCGAGGAACCTTCGTCCCAGCTTGCTGAGGTCCTCGTCGTCCATTGTGTCGGAGCGGCTTAAAACGAGAAACGGGTGGTCGCAGATCTGATTGGTGTGTGTGGGATAGGGGGAAGGGAAGTAAGGAGGGGATACAAGACGTGCATCTTGTGTTAGAAGTGTCCTCTCAGATAGTCCCAAACCCAGCAGCATGATGAGTGCATGTGAGTCGATTTTTGAGTCGACTCAAAAATTGACTCACTACAGACGTGCATCTTGTGTTCAAGTGTTCTCAGATAGTCCCAAAGCCCAGCAGCATGAGTGCCTGTGATGCACGCATCACAGCACCGCATGTCTACCTACCTGCATGCTCAATGCCTTCCAGCCCACCACCCAATGCCCACCGTCCATACCCATTATCAAACACACACCTGCTGCACACACACCCTCCACCCTCCACCCTCCACTCACCACCCACCACCAGACACCCATCACCCACTGACCAGCACCCTGCACCAAGCACCCCGCACCCTCCTCCCACCTGGCGCAGGCGCAGCAGCATTTCGAGGATGGAGGCATAGCTGTGCAGCTCACCACCCACACCCACCACCCAGCACCACCCAGCACCACTCAGCACCACTCTGGACCCAAAGCGGAGCCCAGCACCAGCACCCACCTGGCGCAGGCGCAGCAGCATCTCAAGGATGGAGGCATAGTTGTGCAACACTTTGCCCTGGGCTACAAAGCTGTCGAACTTGACCTGGTGGGGGCAGTGGGAGGAAACGAATTGGGAGCACAGAGGCACTTAGAATAGGAGGGAGGGGAGGGAGCGAGGGAGGAAAGGAAGGAAGAATGTGGAGGCATAGTTATGCAGCACTTTTCCCTGCGGCATAAAGCTGTCAAACTTGACCTGGTGGAGGCCATGGGGAGAGCACGACGGAGGGGAGGAGTGAAAACGTGGTAAGAAGAACGTGAAAGGGAGACCCGAGGTGGAAGCCAGGAATGTGACTGTCGGGCATGTGTGTGTGTCTGGCAGGGCAGCATACCTTGGACTGATTCAACCGGGCAGCATACCTTGGACTTATTATGCAGCGCGTCGTAGAAGTCCCTTTCCTCCGCGGAGAAGTCGCACGAGATCACGCGGTAAGATATGGGCGGCAGGACACATATGCGCTGCCCGTCCCTGGTAATGACAAGGATGTGCGAAGAACACAGCAGAAAGGTGGATTCACAAAAAGGATCGGAAAGAAGCAGAGCGCGGGTGCATTGGTATTCACAGTGGGTTCACAAGCGTCTCTACTTCCAATCCGAGTTTTTTTTTGTTTTTTTTTTTTCCTCTCTCTCTAAATCAAAACTCCATCATGCGTCCAACAAGCCCAAAATCACCTGTCTTTGGAGTCCTTGGTGCGGCGCAGCATGAGCGGCTTGAGCAGCCCCTGCAAGAGCTTGATGCTGCGCATGTCGCCGCGCTCGTAGGGCTGCTGCACCAGGCGCTGCCACCACCCCCAGCTATTCTTTGGGCTGACTCAACACACCTATCCGGTTTTGCGACTTCTGGTGTTAAGACGTCTCAACGTACCTGTCTTTGGACTCCTTGGTTCGGCGCAGCATGAGTGGTTTGAGCAGCCCCTGCAGCAGCTTGATGCTTCGCAAGTCACCCCGCTCGTAAGGCTGCTGCACCAGACGCTGCCACCACCCCCAGTTGACTCCTGACCTGAGCTCTCTCAACACATCTATGTGGTGTTGAAACTTTGACTTCTGTGATCTCTACCTGGCGTTGAGACGTCTCAACGTACCTGTCTTTGGAGTCCTTGGTTCGGCGCAGCATGAGCGGTTTGAGCAGCCCTTGCAGCAGCTTGATGCTTCGCATGTCTCCGCGCTCGTATGGCTGCTGCACCAGGCGCTGCCACCACCCCCAGTTGACTCCTGAGCCCTCTCAAAACATCATCACTGGTGTTGAAACTTCGACTTCTACAGAATTTATATCTGGTGTTAAGACATCTCAACGTACCTGTCTTTGGAGTCCTTGGTGCGTCGCAGCATGAGCGGTTTGAGCAGCCCCTGCAGCAGCTTGATGCTTCGCATGTCACCGCGCTCGTACGGCTGCTGCACCAGGCGCTGCCACCACCCCCAGTTGTCCCACGGCTGCACCCGCAGGAAGCGCAGCAGACTGTACATGTCCTCCAGTTGGTTCTGCCACGTCATGCCACGTCATGTGCCATGTCATGTGCCATGTCATGTGCCATGTCATGCCACGCCATGCCAAGAAAATATCAGGTGGGCTTAGAGTCAACCAAACGGGGCAGAGTGAACAGCAGTGACTGGATTAACCAACGCGTTACACTATGAAGATCACGCACATTTTTCCACCCGCCCCTTCCCCTTCCCCATCACCCCACTCCCCCCATTTTCTCTCCCCACACCTGGATGGGCGTGCCAGTGAGACACCAGCGGGCATCAGCTTGCAGGGCACTCTTGTCTTGACTATACAACCACAACGCTACGTACATCACACCCTTGACTTCCCCCTTCCCCCTTCCCCCTTCCCCCTTCCCCCTTCCCCCTTCCCCCTTCCCCCTTCCCCCTTCCCTCTTCCCCGCTCCCCTCTCACCTGGATGGGCGTGCCAGTGAGGCACCAGCGGGCATCGGCTGGGAGGGCGAAGGTGGCAGCAGCAGCACCAGAGGCGCGGTTCTTGATGCAGTGAGCCTCCGCCTCTCCTTTCCCCCACCACCCCACTCCACCCCCCCCCCTCCCTCCCCTCTCACCTGGATGGGCGTGCCAGTGAGGCACCAGCGGGCATCAGCTTGCAGAGCAAAGGTGGCAGCAGTTGCCTCGACTCAACACCCACACCACTTTGTACACCAGACCCTTTGTTCCACAGCCCCGTTCCACCTCCCCACCACCCCACTCTTTCCTCACCTGAATCGGCGTGCCAGTGAGGCACCAGCGGGCGTCGGCTGGGAGGGCGAAGGTGGCAGCAGCAGCACCCGACGCGCGGTTCTTGATGCAGTGAGCCTCGTCCAGCACCGCTCTGCACCACTGCACACTGTGCAGCGGCCCCTGCCGCACCGCTCCTGCCGCTCCTGCTGCTGCTGCTTGTGCCGCCCCACTGTCCTCTGCCGTGTGCTTGTTGAAACGCTGTGACATGGTGGGAGAGAGGGGGTGGACGGGAGGGAAGGGGGAGATATTATATAAGGCGATTCAGAAACAGGCTGAGGTGAGGGAAGAGGTGGGCTGGGCAGAGAGGCTTGCTTGCCATGATTTATTTACCTTGTACTCGGCCTGCAGCGTGCCACATACGTGGTGATCACCACATGGTGCTGCGCCAATGCATGGAGGCACATGCAGGCTGATGAGGCGCTTCAATACTAAATCACCTCAATCAACAGTGCTCCCATCCCCACCTTGTACTCGGCCTGCAGTGTGCCATACGTGGTGATCACCACATCGTGCTGCGCCAGCAGGCAAGCCTCGTCCAGCCGCTGAGAGCCATAGTAGACCATCACTGAGAGCACGCCAGGTGCTGTGTGCGCCTCACACTCGGCCTGAGGGGGGGTGAGGTGGGGAAAGAGAAAGAGTGGCAGAGAGTAGCTGTGGGTCTTGCCGCTGCAAGCCATAGTAGACCTCGCTGGCATCACTGAGAGCACACCCGGTGCTGTGTGCGCCTCACACTCGGCCTGTAGGAAAGATGGGAAAAAGAGAGGCAGTGAACATGTGAGCTGTCACGAAACCGGCTTCAGAGTCGCGCCGCTGAGAGCCATGGTACACCATCACTGATAACACACCCGGTGCTGTGTGCGCCTCACACTCCGCCTGTGGGGGGACGGGGGGGTGGTTGGGGGCGGGAAAGAGAGAGAGTCCCGCCGCTGAGAGCCATGGTACACCATCACTGACAGCACACCCGGAGCTGTGATGCTGCAGGTTGTTTTTGAGAACTCTCCAAAACCACCTGACAGCACACACACCCGGTGCTGTGTGCGTTTGAGTCGACTCAAAGGCTGTGTGCGCCTCACACTGGGATGAGAGGGGAGGGTTCCTTCCTCTGCGCAGATCGAGAGCAATTTTAAAAGGTTGTCTCGCGAGAGCCACTTAGTAGAGAGTTACAGAAAGCAGGCCGGAGGGAGCATGACCCCGACTTGAGCAAAAACTTTAGATCACGGATGTCAGCAGCGGGTGGATTGAGAGATGGAGAGATGGAGAGATAGGGGAGAAGGAGAGCCGTGGCAATGGCAGAGTAGAGAAGGATTCGAACCGCACCTTCCACTGGCTCAGGAGTGACATGGGGCACACTATGAGCGTCCCTCCACGCACCCTTCTGCCCCTGCTGCTGTTGCTTCCCCTGCCACTCCACTCCTCTATCTCCGTACCACGCTCCTCGTGTGCTTCTGCTTGTGTCTCCTCTGCTCTCCACATCTCAACCCCAACCTCCTGCACCTCTGCATCATCGCTGTCAGCACCACCACCATCGCTGTCAGAACTGCCAGCATCAGCACCACCACCACCATCATCATCCCCTTCCCCACCAGGCAAGTACTCCTCATCCCCATCCTCATCCTCATTCTCTTCGGTATCATCATAGTCAAATAGCGCTACATCACCTCCCTCTCCTGTCCCTTCCTCCACCTCCCTTTTCACTCGCTTCTTCCTCCTTGAACCAATACGCATCCCTCTCCCTGCTCTCACCACCGCACTGCACTCCCCTCTCTTCCGCTTTGCACTCCCAACTGCGGCCACATCCTCCTTACAAGCAGCACCGTTTGCAACAGCACATGCTCCGTTGAAGTTTCCGTGTCGTATCCCATCCCTCACTTGTTTCCCCACCCCTCCACCTTCCGTCTTCCCCACCACTCCTTCCAGTTTTCCCCCTGGTCCCTTCGCCCTCTCCCTCTCTCTGTTAGCCTTGCTCGCAGCAATAAGAGCGATGGTCATAACCGTTTTGCCCAGACCCATGGCGTCTGCTAAAATCTGAAAGAATGGAAGGTGAAACGGGGAGTGACGATGGAAGAGAGGGAGAACAAGGGGATTTAAATCAATCGAAAGAGCAGTGCAATAGTCTATACCCGTCGAGCATGATCCTATGGCGCCTGCTAGGATCTGAATGGAGTAAAGAATCTCCAGGGGAAAGAAGAGAGAGAATGGGGGGAAAGAGGGGGGGAAGGGGTGGAGGGTAGAGGAAGTGATATGCTTGAAAAAGTTCCTTCCAAGGCTTATTAAAACTTGATGCAAGTGGAGAGTCAGAAGCAATGCCACAATAATATGTCTTGTCTAAGACATGAGTTCAATTATTTTGTTCCCGTTTCCCCTCCACAACCACACTGAACTCCCTCAGTATCCTCCGCCTCTTCCCACTCACCCCTCCCCTGCTTCTCTCCATTGCACTTGGAAACTCCAGGGTAACTTCCCCTGAGAAAACGTTGTGGTAGAAAGCCGTGCCCCCACTGAGAGGGTTGAAGAAGCAGAGTGGAAGAAATGAGAGGCGAGCAAGACGAGAATTAAAGAGGGGAGAGGGAGAGGGGATTGGAAGAGAGAGGGGGGAGATGAAGGGGTTAAGGGGGAAGGGCGAGCATGGAGGAGGGTTAGAGAAGGTACTTAAAAACGAGCATAGTGGTAATGAAGGGACATTGCAGGGAGTTTGTGTAGATTCTTTATAACACCCATATAGGGAACGAAATGACAGCAATGACAGCAATGTCAGCAACGACAGCAATGTCAGCAATGACAGCTATGACAGCAACGTCAGCAATGACAGCAATGTCAGCAATGTCAGCAATGTCAGCAATGACAGCAATGTCAGCAATGTCAGCAATGTCAGCAATGTCAGCAATGTCAGCAATGACAGCAATGTCAGCAATGGCAAGTGCAATCGTTTTCTTCTACTGAACAAGAACTCGAAGAACAATTCGGGGTGATGCATCTGACCTTTGAGGCGCCTCAAAAGTCTACTGAACAAGAACTCGAAGAACAAACAATTCAGGGTGATGCACCTGAGACGTGTGCAATGTGGACTGTAGAATGTGCAATGTTTTGAAAGCATGCTGTGGGCCTGGGACGTTGAGACTCGGATGCTGTAACGCACTTGTGCTGTAGAGTGTACTCCTCCCAACATGGGTGCAGCGTGCAATGTGCAATGTGCAATGTGCAGCGTGCAGTGGGGGGTTTAGGGTGCAAATGGTAACGCACTTGTGCTGTAGAGTGTACTCCTCCCAACACGGGTGCAGCGTATCACACTCATCCCGTGCACTCGTCCTCTTGCCACCATCAGCAGCATCAGCAGCACTGCTTGGCACAGTCTGTCCCAGGGTTTCCATGGAAAGCATCCAGTGCAGCGCCTGCTTCTGGTAGCACCGCAGCTGCGAGGTCACACTTGGGGGAGGCTCCATCTCCTGCCAAGAGGCGTGTGACGGGTGACAGGGAGGGAATGGGCGTGAGAAAAGCGAGGGGTATGTGCCGTGCAGCAGACAGGACAACAACAATTTTTGGGGAGCCTCGAAAGCGCGTGAGTTGAGAAGATTTTTGAGCCGCCTCAAAAATGGGCGTGAGAAAAGCGAGGGGTATGTGCCGTGCAGCAGACAGGACAACCACAAACGCGCGACCCACGGCGAGAACCAGAAGCAAGGGTATGTGCCATGCAGCAGACATATGTTGTGGCCGACAATTCAGAGGCGGCATGCAATCCAATGAATCAGTGGCACTTCAAGCGAGGGTGCACATTCCTCTCGGTTGGCCAAAGGTTTAGGGTGCAATGCAATGTATCAAATGCCCACTCAGTTTGCCAGCGTAAAGGAGTCGGGCAAAATCATTTTCGTCAACCCTGACCGAAATGTCACCACAATCGCCTGATCTACATATACATCCTCGCGTAAGCAGGCAGTGGATGGGTCCCCTTCCCACTCACCGGCAGCGCCTGGTTGTTGGTGGTGACACCAACGTAGCGGTTCACCTCCTCATCTGTCATCATCGCCCTCTGGATTGAATGGAAAGTCAGCACACGGTCAAAGAAATTCCCACTTACCGGCAGTGTCTGGTTGTTGGTGGTGACGCCCACGTAGCGGTTCACCTCCTCGTCTGTCATCGACTTTGCCTCTCCCTCGCCCTCCTCGTTACTCTCTCCCGCTGCAATAGTCGCCCGCACTCTCTTAGACGCTGCCTGCTGCCAGATGGAATGAGCGCAATGGTGGGGGGCGTGAGGGCAGTGGGGGGGGCGTGAGGGCAGTGGGGGGGGCGTGAGGGCAGTGGGGGGGGCGTGAGGGCAGTGCAGGGGGCATGTGGGCAGTGGGGGTGAGAAGCAGGGCGACAGAAGATTGTCAGTGGGTATCACATAGGTGAGTGTGTGTACCAGATACCAAATCAAGGAAAGAGTTACTTCGTGCGAGCGCACTCAGTCTCTATTCTACGGCCTGAATTTCTCATCCAGTGTGGAAAAGCACGCAGCTCGTCCAATCAGCTAAGGCTGCGCACCAGTCAGTACAGCCAAAGCCCAGGTGCTTACCCAGTCAGTACAGCGAAAACCAAAGCCCAGATGCTTACTAGTAGTCCGGTCAGCAAACCCAAAGCTGGGGTGCTTACCCGGTCAGTACAGCCAACGCCTAAGCCCAGGTTCTCCGTGTGACGGTTGAAGTCCGCGGGTGTGAACTCCGCCTGTTCCCACCGGAGCAGGAGGCGTGGAGTGGGGGGGAGAATGGGGGGCGCACGGGCGGGGAGCGGGCGTCGAGGGGGAGGGGGAGCTAAGGTTGAGGGGTGGTTACAAGAGGAATCCCTATGAGAAATGTGTGCGTGTGGTTGCTGGGATGCATGACCGAAGGCACAGGACGCGCAGCAGCGTGGTAAAGTGGTGAGAGGCTGTGCTCTCACATCCCACTCCTGAACAACCCACTCTCTTCGCAAGTTGTTTCCATCACCCACCGGGCGGGTCGGTCGCAGGTTCAGGAAGCGCAGCAGCATGGTGATGTGGGCGGCTGTGCTGACGTGTAGTGCATCTGCCGCCCGCTCCTTCACCCGAGTGAGCTTCTGGAAGCAGCACTGCTGCACGTACACCCTGCCAGGGAGCACAGAGAAAGGAGAACGGGACCGAACGGATCAAGTCCTGGAACATGTCCCAGTAGCTGAGAGCTGAGCTGTCAGTTTGGACTAAACCGCTCAGCTCCGCACGAACCCACACAGAGGAGGGAATGGGACGAAGAAGAAGAAGCGAAACTGAAAGGAGCCTTTACACTCCTTTCTTTGAAACGGTGGGAGGAGAGGAGACTGCTCTTGGTCTTCTTTCTTTGCTTTGTTTTGCTTCGCTTTGCCTCGAGTCATGGGATCTTCGAGGGGAAAAAACTGAGCGAACGGCAGACGACGTGAGCTAGGCAGCCATAGTGTAGACACACAGATGAGTGGGACGTGACAGATGCGAGGTTGCATAGCTCACCTGACAGTTAGCAGGATCTCGGAGAACATGGCGAGGCATGGCGGGGCGGAGCACACGTAGCCGCGCAGCTTCACCTTCCCCTCCGCCTCCAGTGGTATCAGCGCCGCCGCCCACTCCCGCGGGAGTGATCCCACCTGGCGCCCATGCGAAGGAGGGAGAGAAGGGGGAAGGAGGGAGAAGAGGAAAGGGGGGGAGGGTAGGAGAGAGGACAGGGAGAGGCGGTGAGAATAAGAGAGGGAGGAGTGGGCGAGTGAAGGAAACCGACAAGAAAGTGGAGTGAGGGAAGGCGCGTACGTACCTCCCCTCCTCTGGTGGTGCCAAAGCGGACAATGGAGCTCCCAACAGAAGAGCCCCGAAAAGACTATGAGGCGATTCAAATGTCTTCTCACTACACGCGGTGTTCACTTCACTCTTAAGTGAAGGCGCGTACCTCGCCTCCTAGCTTTGTCCCAAAGCGGACGATGGAGCTCCCAACAGAAGAGCCCCGAAAAGACGTTGAGGCGATTCAAAAGTCTTCTCACTACACGCGGTGTTCACTTCACTCTTAAGTGAAGGCGCGTACCTCGCCTCCTAGCTTTGTCCCAAAGCGGACGATGGAGCTCCCAGCAGAAGACCCCCGGGACAACGTCTTGCTCCACTTCCCCTTGCCCGCCCACTTGGGCGGCCTTCCGCGCCCCCTCTTGCCTTCCCTTCCGCCAACGCTCCCCTCCCCATCGCCACCACCCCTCGCCTCGCCTTTCGGGAAATGAAACTCCACGGGGTCGTACAGTTCCAGCTTGGCGCCACGTGTCAGCGACACGCAGGACACGTGGCGCTCACCCAGGAGCCACCAGTGCGAAGCTTCCGCCTTCTCCTCTCTCCATTGCTTCATCAGCTTCGGATGCGGAGGGGCGTCGTTGGGGACTGGTTGCTGACGTGGCACTTCAGATACGGGAGGAATCGCAGTAGCTACAGTAGCAACTGTAGATATGGGAGGAACTGTAGACATGGGAGCATCTGTAGATATGGGAGCATCTATAGTTACGGGGGCAACTGTAGATATGGGAGGAACTGTAGGCATGGGAACATCTGTGGATATGGGTGCATCTGTAGATATGGGAGCATCTATAGATATGGGAGCAACTGTAGATACGGGAGCATCTGTAGATAAGGGAGCATCTGTAGATACGGGACGAACTGTAGATACGGGAGCATCTGTAGATACGGGAGCATCTGTAGATACGGGAGCATCTGTAGATACGGGAGCATCTGTAGATGCGGGAGCATCTGCAGATACGGGAGCGTCTGTAGATACGGGAGCATCTGTAGATACGGGAGGAACCGCAGAAACGGGTTGAGCCGTAGGTACAGGTGATACTGTAGATGCGGGCGGCACGGCCGATGGAGATAGCGCCGCGGATACGGGCGGCAATGAATCAGGCGGATTCAGCGAGTCTGGCGGGGCGGAGACAGCAGGCGATTGGGCGGGGTCAGCGCATGGCTCAGTGCGTGACTCCTCGCGCGGGGAAACTGCACCGCAAGGCGGGCGCAGTGCGCACTCTCCGCCCAACTCGCCGTCCCCCTCTTTTTGAGTCGACTCAACAATAGGCGCCTCGTGCGGGGGAACTGCGCCGCAAGGCGAGCGCACTGCGCATTCTCCGCCGAACTCACCGCTCCGCTCTTTTTTAGTCGACTCAAAATAAGGCTCCTCGCGCGGGGACACTGCAGCGCAAGGCGAGCGCACTGCGCATTCTCCGCCCAGCTCGCCGTCCCGCTCAGAGCCACGATCCGCGCCGTGACATACGGGTTCAGCCATGCTGTCTGGGGAAATGCTCGACGTGGGGGGAACTGCGCCATCGTTGGGCGCAACGTCGGGGGAAACTGCGGCGCAAGGTGCGCCCACTGCGTCGGGAGAAACTCCGCCGCCAATCGCTCCGTCCCCCGTGAACTGACACTCCGCCTCGGGTCGCGCAGGCTCGCGGATGCTGTCGGGGGAAAGGCTCAACGCTTCCGGCGGTGAAGCGCCGGCATTTGGTGACGATGGCGCTTCGCATGGGCAATGTGCTGCGCAGTCGCCGCCAATAAGCGGGCTCGTCTGACGAGTCGCCTCCGCATCGAAAGGCGCGGAGTCTCCGACGCGCTCCGCAGGATCAACGGCTAGGCTGGCTTCCTGCGCGGCGGCTTCCCCCATGGACGCTCCTGGTTCCTCCGGCGCAACATTCACTTCCACCGGTGTTTCCGCAACGGAAGTGCGCGGGGAGGCGGGCGGAGAGGTGGAAGCGGGGTCTAGACAGGGTGGCGGAAGCGCTAAAAGCTCTCCGCGAGCTTTCGGCGGAGGGGAGGCGAGAGGAAGCGGGTGACGAGATGAAGCCAATTGCTCGAGAGTGAACCTTTCAACATGAACTAGGTCTAAGTGGTAGTTAATCGCCTTGGCGACGTTGCCTCGCGCGAGATAGAGCGCTCTGACGAGGGACATCTCAGTCGGCTCGGTGCCTAGAACCAATCGCATGGCCTTGAAAGCCTCGGGAGTCCCGAAGCTCGCCATTGCAAGGATATCCGAAAAAGGGAGTCTCTAAATGGTCGATAGTTAATTGACAAACTGGAATGGCTTGCGTAAGTGGAAAGGGAGTCTCTAAATGTCATCAGCTGAATGACTAACTGGGATGGCTTGCACAAGCTGCAAAGGAACGTCGATCCCTTATACGAAGTGTCAGGAGCTTCGGCACGCGAGTCTGAAGCGCGCGAGCATGGCTCTGAATTCCGTGATATGCCATGGTGATATGCCATGGTGAAATTTGAAAAGCTGCTTCACTTGAAAAAGCTTCAGCAATGGTGGCAAGGACAGAAATTAGGGTAAAGATGAGGTGGTGTAGGGTGGAGTGCGGTGAGAGTTGGTGAAGGTTCGAGTATCCAGTGGCGTCAGGTTGAAGCGATAAGTGGCTTGCAGGGTGGCGGGAAACTCACCACAGCGCGCCAGCAGGGAACGTCAGTGGTGCGAGGGGTGATGGTCGTGCATGTATCGAGGGGAGCGACTGCAAACGAAAGCTACGAGCGGCCAGTAACCATCACATGACTTCGTTGCATGTATTTCAGGTTTAGATTGCAGCTTAGTAAATCACAAACCAAACTAGTCACGTTTTTATTAACGACCTCCCAAAGGTTCAAAGTACACCAAGAGTTATAGCAAAAAGTAGCAAATAAATCCAGACGTATCTCCATGGAACCCAAGCACCCAGAAAAACAAGAATGCTTCAGGTTTTCAGAAAGAGACTCGGTAGTAGAGGCGAAGTACTTGGTGGTTGCAATACAGTGGCACGTGCCCTGGACTGGATCCATGAGCTTGCAGCAGTGCAGCAAACACCAGGTCATTTGGCGTTCTTCCCTCTCGATGACTTCTCATCTCAGCACCACCATTCGCAGCTTGCGATAGAAATCCCAGCATGCGTTGTTTGTACCCAGTGCCTCCTTGGCAAGCTGGTGCTCCGTAAGGCCATACTGGGATGATCTGTCCAGGAAGAAAAATCCCAGTATAGTCTTGCGAGATACAGGCTACAGCCAAGATACCCAAGGGCTTACTATTGGCATTTAACCAAGGCCAAGGCTGAGCTCCAGATCATCTGAGCGCATCACAGGAGGCGGCTTCATGGGCGCCTCAACATCCCAGCTCGTCGCCATGCGCCGCACACCAGCCGCCCACTTGTTGTTGTCCTTCCCTCCCGCGGATTTGAACTCCACCGTTCGTTGAGGTCCCAGTGTTCCGCCGCGTGTCGCACTTCCGCACTGAGGGCTGATGCTGTTGTGCGCGCCGCCGCTAAAGTTGCCACTCCGGGAAGGAGCGGGCATGGATCGGTCGGGGGGAGGAGCAGCGGCGGGAGGGAGAGAGGAAGATGCGGAGGACTGGACGACGTTGTTAGCGCCTTGCAGCAGACCGAGCAGCAACTGCTGCTGTTGATGCTGTTGGTGCTGTTGGTGATGCTGCTGCTGCTGCTGATGTTGTTGTTGATGAGAGAAAGCCAGCTGCTGCTGAAGTTGTTGCTGCTGCTGGTGCTGATGCTGCTGCTGCTGCTGCTGCTGATATTGTGGTTGCTGCTGCTGCTGTTGCTGCAGCGGATGCAGAGGAACCACGGGATTGGCTGCCTGGACATTAACCATCGGTCTTGGGATTGCCGAGGACGGTACAGAAGACGGTGCGGCAGCGCCACGAGATGACTGAAGCAGAGAGTAGAGATCCGACGGCACGGCGGAAGAACCGGGAGCAGGCGGTCGATTACCAGGCAGCGATTGATCCCCGTTATTAGCACCTCCTTCAGCGAGCAGCATCAGCACCTGCTGCACGTCCGATGACGTGGCGAACGACGGAGGCAGGCCGAGGGACGACGCAACTGCCGCGAGAGATGCGGCGGAGGAGTTCAGCGCCGCGCCCAGCTGCGCCGCCGCCGCGGGGAAAGCGGCGAGCGCGGACATGAGCTTCAGCAGCTCCGCTGCCGGCGGCGCGGCCGCTCCGCCAGCAGCTCCGCCAGCAACTACGCCAGTCTGGGTAGCTCCGCAACCACCCGCGCTTCCTCCTCCGGGCGCAGGTCTACCTTCCACCATTGGCGCAGCGGCGCTTAGAGGAACGGCGCCAGCGGCGGCGAGTCCGGCATCCCGCCCGTGAATCGCGACGCCGTTGACGGGGCCGCGGCCATGGTCGGAGCCTCCTGAGAGAGACGCTGGATGATCATAGTCGGTATTATCGAGGGCGTTGACATTGGACGACGCGTATGGTTGCGCGCCGCTGTCCGCGGGGTATGCGGAGTCGATTCCTGCTGACGGCTCGGGCTGCTGGGGTCGAGGTTGGCCCTGAAACGAGGAAAACGAGCACATACGAAAAAAAAAAAAAAAAAAAAACCATGAGAAGTCGGCGAATAAAAACGAATACATGAGAAGTCGGCGAATAAAACCGAATACATGAGAATTCGGCGAATAAAAACGAATACATGAGAAGTCGGCGAATAAAAACGAATACATGAGAAGTCGGCGAATAAAAACGATATAAATGAGAAGTCCGAAAAGAATCACAGGTAGAAAGATATGAGTAGGATGCAAACCAATCACATTTAATACGCGGAGTGGACAGAAAAGGAAGACGATGTGTGCATCGGCACGGCGCGGCGCGACGCGGATGAGGGTGTACCTTTCGGTAAGTCGTGCCGTCCTCCTCGACAATCCAGCCGGCCTCTTTGCACACGGCCTTGAGCACTTCGTTATTATCACAGTGTTTCGGCAGATCGTAGTTTCCGTAGGTTCGCAGGCCGGTGAAGATCTTGGCTGCTATGGCGCGTCGTCTCCTCTCCCTTCGTTTGTTATTCTCCCGCTCCTTCCACGTCGGCAAGCGTTGGGCCGCTGTACCGCGATTCGACGAAATAAGCCGGTTGTTGTCCCTCTGGAACTGCTTTGAATCCTCCTCCAGGTCGTCCGCATAACTCGTAGCCAGATCCATCGGTCGAAACCCTAAAGAAGGTTCAAAACGCCAAAACGACTTAACACCTACTCGAAAGAGAAACGCTCGATAAGAATGTGAAAGCGGAGGTGAAAAAAGGCCAGGAACTACCAACGACAGGATGCACAGCACACAAGGAAATGAAAGGCCGAAGAGAACGAATAGGAGGAAATCAGTGGAAGGAGGGTGGTGCCCTATTTGGGGTTTGGTGCGTTTGGTTGGAGAGGGAAATGGATGAGTTGGGTGGAAGGGAGGTGGTGTTGACAGGGCGGCGGAAGGGGGCACCCCGGCTTGCTGGTGGTGGAATAGATGCATGTGCATTCACCGGTGGTATGTACGTGTGGCATCTGAAACAGAGAGTTGCGCTGGGGTTGGATTGGGGCAGAGATAAATCCTGCCGGGAAGCGAAGGGGAGATCCAATCCTTACCCGCCAGGTGCTGTACATTCGCATCCCGTCACCCGTCCGTGACATCCTCGGGAAGGTCGGGGCTGTGCGCAGATTGGGTTGCGCGCGCAACTGAACTCCCCCCAGATTTTCAAGATGGATACAGACTTGTCGCACGGAGGCTCCGCCCTAGCGCAGAGGACAATGGCGACATGCGCAACTTGGTGGAAGTCGAACCAAGCGCATGCAAATTTGATCGCAGGCGCTCGTGCAGGTGGAGGTGGATGTGGCGAAAAGACGATGCCTGACGACTGGGGTGAGGGGGAGTTGGGTTGGTTTGGGAAGTGGGCACTGGGCACCCCGTACGTGGTGTGTAACCGTGTGGTCCGGCCCAGTCTGGTTTTTTCTGCGCTGGTGGTGGTCGTCCAAAGCAGCGCGGGGAGGGTACAAGGGGGAGGGGTGAGGGTGAGGAGGACCAGGTGCAATGCAAAATGGGGTGGGGAGGGAAAGAGGCGGTGGGTGCACCACAGCGCATCACTGATAAAAATGCGCGCAGTGTGCGCGCAGTGTGCGCGCAGTACGCTTTGCAGGGAAGCAAGCTGCCAAACCAATGGGGAGCTGCACGCATGGTCGAACGGGCAATCGCCCGCACGGACCCTTCCCTGAAGTCACGACACGACGACACAGCAGGGTGCAGTTCGTGCGAAGGCTCACACTGCTCACGAATGGTGAGCGAGCCACACGTGCCACGCATGCATGGCGTACATCTGGATCCTGCTGCTAATTATGGGACACTGCTGTGGCTGGTCCACAAGGGCAGCACTTCAACACCAGCGAAACCATTTTTTCAAAATATAATTCCATAACGGAGGCCATAACGTTGCTTCTAATTAAACATCATACATTTTGAATCATTAGAAAAAGGAGTTACAAATTCGAAAGACTGATCGGAACTGTAGGCCCAGATTATATCCGATTCGAAGAATTTGAAAGGACGTTGAAAAATGTAACGAAGAAACCTGGAAAGTGCAAAAAATGCAAGTGACGTCACCACTCCGTGCGGGACTTGGGTCTCCCTTCCCCTCAGCCCACTGGGCACATGGCTCGTGAATCGTGATGGTGGCTTGGCTTGGAGGAGGTAGCCACTCAAGCGGGTACAGTAAACTTGCACGACTAAACCTTGGTAAAGACTTGGGAATACTGTCTCCATCGGTGTACAAAATGCGCTAAAACTCTGTGCACGTTATATGTGTATCTGAACACGACATGGCAAAACACACTTGACGCTAAAAAAAAACAATTTGGGCAGTTTGGACCTCCCGAGGCCGCTTCAAGTGTGACTGACACCACCGTACCTCGCCCTTTCATCAAACACACTGGGCCCTCCTCCACCGTTTCGTTCCACCACAAACACTTGTAAAGACAGCGCGAGCCACCCAAATAGCCCAGGTTCGACCCAGAAAGGTCCCAATTTCCTTTTCATACTTACAGGGGTGCATCAGAGCAACCGCCCGGAAAACAAAGTGTGCTTGCAAAAAAGGCATCAAGTGAAATGTAACTGTCCGGCACAGCTGCCTCTCCTCAACTGCCATCTCGCCATCAGCACCGTTGTCAACAGCTCCGCGTGCCAGATTTGCGTCGATTTGATACGGAGGTCAGGTTTATGGAGCAACAATCAGCTGTGGATTCGTGAAAGGTTTGGCAAAAGGCCAAACGACTGCGAAGTGAACCAGAGGGTACACTTCATACCTTTTTAGTGCTTATTGCCTTTCATTACACACCCTTCTTTGCTATCTAAAATTTGTCATAAGCTAACTTGAGGGGAGTTGTACAGCAGTCTGTAGTGTGCCTGCATGTGCCCATGTTTCCATGTGTCAAGGCATTTACTATAGCAGTGAGCCAGTGGGATGCCATGCAGTGGGCCATGCAGCAGGAAGTGTACAGAACCACCCTCAGAGAAACTTGGAATATGGAAGGCATAAGGGTTTCAGGTTTGGGGGCAAATGTCTACCGGCACTGGTACACTTAGGGTTGTGCCCTTAGGGTTGTAAGATGTGTTTCCTACAGTAGGGTTGAGCAAAGAAACGAACACCTGTTCGGTTAGGGCCTACAGGACCAATCCCAAGCATGTCCAAGAATGAGTACAAGGGTAATCAATCAGTAGCAAACATTCATCGGGGTCACGACTGCAGCAGCAGGTTCAGTTACAGCTGCAGCAGGAGAGAGTAGAGGAGCCACGGCTACAGCACCAGGTGCAGTTGCAGTCACAGCATGAGAGGGTAGAGCAGGAGTCCCGCCCGCAGCAGCAGGTGCAGTTCCACCAGCAGCAGGAGAGAGTAGAGGGGGAGTCACGGCCGCAGCAGGAGGTGCAGTTCCAACCAAAGCGCACCATTTGTTACCGGTACCTCATTGTCACAAGAGAAGGGTCTTACAACTAGGACAGCATGGCGAACTTCCTTTTATACAAGACAACAGTGCAGCGTGCTTCCATCAGTGTACCACTTGCTTTGGCCGCCTTTTGCTGCTCTTCCTACGCCTACCCCTGACAGCACGCGGCAAAGCCTTGACCATGTAGGGCCCCTCGAGCTCATATCCGAGCTTCCTGTAGTAATGGCGCGTTCCTATGCCTGAGATCACTGCCAGCTTGCTCGATCCATGCTCCCACCGCGCAATGCGCTCCGCCTCCTCCATCAGCAGCGTGCCGTACCCCTGAAACCACAAAGCACCGCATTGTACCGCATCCAACCCAACCCAACCCAATCCAACCCAAACCATGGATTTGAGCACAGGGAGAATCCACCTGCCAACTGTGTTGATCAACGCAACTATAAATCAGTGTACCGCACTGTACCGAGCCTGGTGCTGTCATGTGCCTGGTCCTACCCACATGCCTCGTGCTTCCACCACCTTATCCTACCCGCTTGTCATTTCTACCCACTCGCCTGGTGCTGCAGCTTGTCGGTGTCGCGTGTGTGCACGGGCACAGCAGTGCCATACACATGCAGCTCACACCACACATGCCCTGCACCACTGTATCATATGCCTGCCACCACCGTACCTGATCTGACCCTTCCCACTCGCCTGGTGTACGGTAGCTCTCACCACACACGCCACTGCCACACATGCCACACATGCCCTGCACTTTGAATCATCTCCTAGTCACCACCGTACCTCATCCTACCCACTCGCCTGGTGTTGCAGCTTGTCAGTGTCGCGCGTGTGCACGGGCACAGCAGTGCCATACACATGCAGCTCGCGCACTATGGAGCACCGCCCTCTCAGCTCCGGACACGTCACATGCGCCCCACACCGCCTCAGCCGCAACAGCCCCACCAGAATGTCCTGCCGGGCAGAAAAGAGGGGCACACAGGGGAGGGAGGCGCACAACGTGAAATTGAGGCGCCTCAACAAAAGTCGCATCACGGAACACCACCACCCGTTGCTAGGAACACGTCATATGCACCCCACACCTCCTCCGCCGCAGCAGCCCCACCAGAATGTCCTGCCGGGACGAAGGAGAGGGGGGCACAAGGGGGGAGGAGGGCATACGAAAGGCAGGACTTACTGATGAGAGGCAAGAGGGGCAGGGATGCCCAAATGTGTTACGGTGCACGAGAGGAGGAATCAGACGAGCATTTTTTGAAGCAGGGAATTGGGGAGTCACGTCTGCCAGATGGGGGGATGATGGCTGCTGTCGCTCCCCTCACTGCATGGCAAATGCCCTGAATGCTCGCCTAGATTTCTGTATACCCTGTCTCTACCCATGCACACCTGTCACCAACTGGTAACCACCTAACTACCACCCAGTAACCACCTGATCACCACCCCTCTCACTCTCTCACCTGCGTAACATCTTCACAAGACAGGAACGTCTCCCATCCATCGTTAGCCGCGTAGTCCCGCCGCACCAGCTGCACATCATGCGGTCTCACGGCATGGTGAATGTTCTGAATGCCCGCCTCCCATCACAGTTACCTCCTCTCACTCCTCTCACCTGGGTAACATCTTCGTAAGAAAGAAATGTCTCCCATCCATCGTTGGCAGCGTAATCTCTCCGCACCAGCTGTACGTCATGCGGCCTCACAGCGTGGTGAATGTCCTGAATGCCCGCCTCCCGCGTGCGCACATCCCGGCACCGCAGCCCCAGCTCTGCCATGTGCGCCAGCGCCAGCTCGCGCAGGTTACTCTTACCACCAGGTTACCACCAGTTTACCACCAAGCTACTGCCTCTCTCTCGCCCGGTTACCACCAGTTATCTCTCTCACCTGCGTCACGTCTTCGTATGAGAGAAATGTCTCCCAGCCGTCATTTGCAGCGTAATCCCTCCGCACCAACTGAACATCATGTGGCCTGACAGCATGGTGAATGTCTTGAATGCCCGCCTCCCGCGTGCGCACATCTCTGCACCGCAGCCCCAGCTCTGCCATGCGCGCCAGTGCCAGCTCACGCAGGTTTCCCTTGTCGATTCCCGACGTGACCAGTGGCAGCGGGATATCGCGCATGATGCGGTACACGCGCGTCCAGGGGGGCACGAGCGCCAGGATGCCCGCGACTAAGTCGATGAGCTTCTCGGGTGGGTAGTTGCGGTACCTGGGGGGGGGGGGGGGGGGGAGGAGAGAGGGAGGAAGGGGGGGGGAGCAGCGGGATGTCGCGCATGATGCGGTACACACGCGTCCAGGTAGGGACCAAGGCCAGGATGCGCGCTACTAGATCGATTAGCTTCTCCGGTGGGTAGTTGCGGTACCTGGGGGGGAGGAGGTGGAGGGGGGAGGGTGGAGGAGGGGGGAAGAGGGAGAGGAGAAAGGGGAACGCGAGAAGGGGAAGAGGGGGCGCACCACTAGGTGCATTCGCTTTTCAGGTGGGTCTTTGCAGCACCTGACACGGTACCTGACGTGGTACCTGTTGTGACAACCCCCACCCGCCCACCCTCTCACGTGCAGGTCTCCCAAAGCAAAGGTCATAGAGTCCCGTCCCGTCCCGTCCCGTCCCATGCCCCGGCCCGGCTGACGAGCTCTGAGGTCTAGAACGTGGCATTAGCTGGTGGAAGCATCCAATGGGTCCTTGTTGTGCTATGTGATGCGCCCCACCTGCCAGTCTTCCATAGCTCGTAGAGCCCCGTGCCATGGATGAGGAGCGTGGGGTAGAGCTTCAGCCCATCGGTGCAGAGAGAGGACCGTCCAGTGCAACACACACTCACTTCGCCGCCCACCCGTCCACACCACCCCCTCCCCCCCCCCTCACCTGCCAGTCTTCCAGAGCTCGTAGAGCCCCGTGCCGTGCTTCAGCCCGTCCGTGCGGAAGGCAGAGCTGATACGGTAATAACCCCCTCCTCCCTCCTCCCTCCTCCCCTCACCTGCCAGTCTTCCATAGCTCATAGAGGCCTGTCCCACGGATGACGAGCGTGGGGTAGAGCTTGAGCCCGTCCGTGCGGAGGTGGTGGCAATGCTAACTCCCACCTTCCCCCCTCCGCCCCTCACCTGCCAGTCTTCCACAGCTCATAGAGCCCGGTGCCGCGGATGACGAGTGTGGGGTAGAGCTTGAACCCGTCCGTGCGAAAGGCGGGGTTGTGCATGAACTCTCGGAAGGACTCCATGTCCCTCTCCATGCCCACGTTGGGTAGGTCTGGCATCATGTGCGCTACTACCTGGTGGGGAAGGGTGAAGGGAGTGTAAAGGAAGGGAGGGTTTTGGTATAGAAAGACATGAGGCATGAGGCACATGAGGCATGAACTCTCTAAAGGACTCCATGTCCCTCTCCATGCCCACGCTGGGTAGGTCTGGCATCATGTGCGCTACTACCTGGTGGGGAAGGGTGAAGGGAGTGTAAAGGAAGGGAGGGTTTTGGTATAGAAAGACATGAGGCATGAGGCACATGAGGCATGAACTCTCTAAAGGACTCCATGTCCCTCTCCATGCCCACGCTGGGTAGGTCTGGCATCATGTGCGCTACTACCTGGTGGGGAAGGGTGAAGGGAGTGTAAAGGAAGGGAGGGTTTTGGTATAGAAAGACATGAGGCATGAGGCACATGAGGCATGAACTCTCTAAAGGACTCCATGTCCCTCTCCATGCCCACGCTGGGTAGGTCTGGCATCATGTGCGCTACTACCTGGTGGGGAAGGGTGAAGGGAGTGTAAAGGAAGGGAGGGTTTTGGTATAGAAAGACATGAGGCATGAGGCACATGAGGCATGAACTCTCTAAAGGACTCCATGTCCCTCTCCATGCCCATGCTGGGTAGGTCTGGCATCATGTGCGCTACTACCTGGTGGGGAAGGGTGAAGGGAGTGTAAAGGAAGGGAGGGTTTTGGTATAGAAAGACATGAGGCATGAGGCACATGAGGCATGAACTCTCTAAAGGACTCCATGTCCCTCTCCATGCCCACGCTGGGTAGGTCTGGCATCATGTGCGCTACTACCTGGTGGGGAAGGGTGAAGGGAGTGTAAAGGAAGGGAGGGTTTTGGTATAGAAAGACATGAGGCATGAGGCACATGAGGCATGAACTCTCTAAAGGACTCCATGTCCCTCTCCATGCCCACGCTGGGTAGGTCTGGCATCATGTGCGCTACTACCTGGTGGGGAAGGGTGAAGGGAGTGTAAAGGAAGGGAGGGTTTTGGTATAGAAAGACATGAGGCATGAGGCACATGAGGCATGAACTCTCTAAAGGACTCCATGTCCCTCTCCATGCCCATGCTGGGTAGGTCTGGCATCATGTGCGCTACTACCTGGTGGGGAAGGGTGAAGGGAGTGTAAAGGAAGGGAGGGTTTTGGTATAGAAAGACATGAGGCATGAGGCACATGAGGCATGAACTCTCTAAAGGACTCCATGTCCCTCTCCATGCCCACGCTGGGTAGGTCTGGCATCATGTGCGCTACTACCTGGTGGGGAAGGGTGAAGGGAGTGTAAAGGAAGGGAGGGTTTTGGTATAGAAAGACATGAGGCATGAGGCACATGAGGCATGAACTCTCTAAAGGACTCCATGTCCCTCTCCATGCCCACGCTGGGTAGGTCTGGCATCATGTGCGCTACTACCTGGTGGGGAAGGGTGAAGGGAGTGTAAAGGAAGGGAGGGTTTTGGTATAGAAAGACATGAGGCATGAGGCACATGAGGCATGAACTCTCTAAAGGACTCCATGTCCCTCTCCATGCCCACGCTGGGTAGATCCGGCATCATGTGCGCCACCACCTGGGAGTGGAAGGGGGAAAGTGTGAGGGGAGAGAGTGAGGTTTGAAAGTTCATGGGGAGGGCGAGCCCATGCTACTCTCCATGCCCACGTTGGGGAGATCTGGCATCATGTGCGCCACCACCTGGGGGAGAGGGGGGTAGGGGAAGGAGAGTAGAGTGAGGTTTGGAAGGTATAGTGAGGGCGAGTCCACGCCACCCTTCATGGGGAAGGCAGACGCTCCATGTCCCTCTCCTTGCCCACGCTGGGTAGGTCTGGCATCATGTGCGCCACCTGGGAGTGCATCCAGGGAGGAGCGGGAGAAAAGGACGCATGGAAAGTCGGAGGACACGTGATGGCAAAGGTGCAGCCAGGCACGGCACAATCACCACCATCACCAGCACACATAACACACCTTAAAGCCCGCGCGCACACAACACGCACCTTAAAGCCCGGGGCAGCGACGGTGTGGCCGCGTTTGGTGCCTGTCGTTTTGAAGCCAGCACACAGCAGGCAGTGCACCTTACAACCCACGCACCACACACCTTACAGCCAGCGCAGACGACGCACCCTAAAGCCCGCACACCACACACCTTAAAGCCCGAGTCTTTGGCGAGGCAGAAGCAGTTGGCGACGGCAGCGACGGTGTGGCCACGATTAGTGTCCCTGGCCTTAAAGCCTGCACACTGCAGACAGCGAGCCCTAAAGCCCACACATCACACACCTTAAAGCCCGCGTCTTTGGCGAGGCAGAAGCAGTCGGCGACGGCAGCGACGGTGTGGCCGCGGTTGGTGTCCCGGGCCACGTCCTCATACGTGCTCTGCACGCCTATCTCCAGCCTCGTGCACCCGTATGCTAGCATCTGCCTCAAATGGGGTCCCAGACAGTAGTCTGGCCGGCTGGGGAAGGGAAAGGGGGGAGAAAAAGGGGGAGTGGCGGGTGGAAGGGTGTGGAATTAACAGAAATGGAGTGGGTGAATTGGGACATGGGTGTGGGGCTGCTGCCACGTAAAGTCATGGACTCATGGTTCCTACTTGAGGCTCCATCAGTGGCCGCGGTTGGTGTCCCTGGCCACGTCCTCATACGTGCTCTGCACTCCTATCTCCAGCCGCGTGCACCCGTATGCTAACATCTGCCGCAGGTGCGGCCCCAGGCAGTAGTCCGGACGCCTGGGAGAGGGATGGGCAGGGTCGGCGAGGGGTTTGATTGCATTAAAGGTTGGCTGGTTGGGTGCTCGAGTGTGGGATGGTGAGGAGTCTACTATTGAGGCGCGGCGCCTAAAAAAAGCGTGCTCTCACTTCTCAGTGGTGAGCCCGATGCAGTGCGTGGCGGCGTTGACTGAAAATTAGAAATGCCTGGCTGGATTCTCCTTTAGAGTCGACTCAAAAGCAGGATTCTCACGTTTCGATGGTGAGGCCGATGCAGCGCGTGGCGGCATGCTCGGCGTACTGCACTGCCTCCGCCACGCACGCGGAGGAGCGGCCTGACAGCACCGAGCAGATTGACACTGAGGCGCCTCACCAATGGTCTGGTCTCCTTTCACGAGGCTTGGTTGGCCGCTTACTCAAGTTTCAGCAATGAACCTGACGGTTTCAGGGTTGGCTGGTTTGGTGCTCACGTCTCGATGGTGAGGCCGATGCAGCGTGTGGCGGCATGCTCGGCGTATTGCACTGCCTCGGCAACAGACGCGGAGGAGCGGCCTGACAGCGCGTCGTGCAGATTGCGCACGAAGAAGTCGCGATAGTCCGCTGGCAGCGACATGAACGTGCCGCCCATTAGGATGTACTCCACCTGATGGTGAGGGTGGGGTGGGGTGTGATTGTAATGAGAGGGTGACTTTACGCAGATTGCGCACGAAGAAGTTGCGGTAGTCCGCTGGCAGCGACATGAATGTGCCGCCCATGAGGATGTACTCCACCTGATGGTGGGATGTGGTCGTGTGATGGTAGGGTGATTATATGGAGAGATTTGGCATACACAGGTAGTCCGCTGGCAGCGACATGAATGTGCCGCCCATGAGGATGTACTCCACCTGGTGGCGGGATGTGAGGGTGGTGGGGCGACGGTGGTGTGATTACAGAGAGGGTGGTGTGACTGCAGAGGGGGCGTTGTGCAGATTGCACACGAAAATGTGGTTATATGGAGAAGATTGGCCCGCAAAGACACCACGTCCCATCCATACCTCTATGTCCCAGCCGTACCTTATCCACACTGTGTCCGAGTCGCCTCAGCTGGTCGACCCGACCGCGCGCCTGAACGTACGGATGGTACCTCGCCCGAATCGCGCGCATACTAGTCGGCTCATACCCGGTATAAGACTGGGTTGAATACTCGAAATCGGAATCGGGCCCGCCAGGGCAGTACACGCAGATATTCCCTGTCGTCGCTATATGCGGGCATCTATGCGGTTTGGACATCACGGCGACGACCGCGATTCCGGACGCCGTGCGAACGGGTTTGGCGCGGAGCCTCGGGATCAGCGCGTCGCGGTGCTCCTCGGGAACCGCGGCGATGATCTCGACGAGCTTCGGCGCGCGCGACAGCCCGTGCTTTCGCGACGCGTCGGATTTGATCGCGTTGAGATTGACGTCGCGACCCGCGCGCACGCCGTCGATCATCGCCCGCACGATCTCGGAAATCGCGCGCACGCGGGATTCTTCCGGGGACGCGGACAGAACGACCCCGCCGCGCCCCGGCGTGGGCTTCTTTCCGCCGATCGCGGATGCGTCCGCGGAAGCGGTGGCTCCGCCACCCCCGCCGAACTTGGATAACGCCCCCATGGAGACGAACTCCTTATCGAATATACGTTCAGTCGACTCGGCTCAGAAGTCAGTTAAAAACACTACGTTCGAGACGGTCCGACAAACGCGCAGACTAGCGCAGCTAAAGCTACAAATCAGAATATCATTCGGAGGCGGTTCGAAGTCACCACTATCTACCACTAATCTACTATCTCCTCCAGGGCAACGACGGGGCGCATGACAACACCTAGTGAAGACTTTAGTGAGACCCGCTAAAAGTGTCGAGCTCATCCACTATTTACAGAAGTATACAGCGAGTTTTTAACACAATAACGTAGAGAATAATACGTGCATCGTTCTCCCTGCAAGGACACTGTCCGTTTGCACGAGTCTAACTGGAAGTAATGCGACGATGCCAGTAACGCGGTAACCCTTTCTGGTGTGAAGCTCTTTCGTTCTCTCCCTGTAAACCCAACGAGTAGCTGACACGTCTTGATACTGCCGAGGATGCTCAACCAAGTCAGGGAGGAATATTCCTTCATAACTCTCATCTCAACCTGCAATACAAAGACACACATGAGAACAAAATAACAATAAAAAAACGGAGAATATCATTTACAATGAAAACAAGAAACTTATGAAACCAAGCTACACTTGCTCACCCTGACGGCGCTGAAAGGCCGGCTTGTTGTCGCGCTCGCATTGGCGGATTGTGGGGACGCGAGCCACTCCGCGTTCCTGAATCCCACGCGCACCTTGCCGTAGCGCCTGAAGAGGTGGCGCTCCCAGCTCTGGCTGGCCTTGCTGTTTGTCACCGATATGAACGTGCTGCTCCGGTCCCGGTCCGACCACACACAGCACACATGAAAGATAAGCATGTGCAGATAGGAGGTCTCACAAATCGCAGGTTTCAGTTGCTTCCGTACAGACACAGCAAGGTAAGCAAAGCAGAACGATGGGAGTTTGGAACGATGACAAGAGGGAACACAGGAGTTCTCCTCACTTCTAGCTGTGGAATAGGGCAGTAAAGGTGCTCCTAAATGCAAAGAGGCTCTCACCTCCCCGACTTGACCCTGGACCTCCCCCAGTTGGCCCCCCAGTTTACCCCGTACCTTTTGCTAGTGAGCAGCGAAGTGAAGGTGTTGAACTGCCCCGTCTTGCTGCCCAGCAGCTCTACCTCCCCCAGTTGCGCCCGGATGCACACCGCCACTGGGGGAGGCGACTCCCACGTCACACTCATGGCCTTCAGCTGGTGTTGGGATGGCATGGGTCATGGTGCATGGGGTGATGGTGCATGGAGTGGTGGTGCGTGGGGTGATGGTGCATGGGGTGATGGTGCATGATATGCAATGCAACTAGATGGCCACACACGGGAGGGCGCGGCGTTGCAAGGGATGGATGGATGGGATGACATGGCATGGGATGAAATGTCCCGAGTGGTTGAGAGGGTGACACATGATCATCCACATCAGCATCGGCCTAGCACAAACTTCACATGGATATCTGCACCGGAAGCTCCTCCGACAAACATCCCTGCCATGGCCCTGCACCTCACACTGCCCCTCTCCGAATTCTCCAAACCGACTCAAATTTGCTCCCCACAGCTTCTGAAGCTTTTGCATGCACCAAACCTTTTCAAACTGTTCTGTGCAGTGCGTGAGGCTAGCGGCAACGCGGGCGATGTTGCAGCGCTGCCAGCGGAGCGAACATTTCAAGGTCTGGAGCCTACCTTTTCAAACTGCTCCGTGCAGTGTGTGAGGCTAGTGGCAACGCGGGCAATGTTGCGGCGCTGCCAGCTCAGAGTCTTCCCTCCACGCTGTCGCTCCACGTCCCGGTCAAACAGCCGCTCCCACGCGCCCTCCCACGCGTGCTGTTGGTGAAATTGCAAAAGCCAGCTCACCTTTTCAAACTGCTCCGTGCAGTGTGTGAGGCTGGCGGCACCCCGGGCGATGTTGCGGCGCTGCCAGCTCAGAGTCTTCCCTCCGCGCTGCCGCTCCACGTCCCGGTCGAACTGCCGCTCCCGTTGGTGAAATCGCAAAAACCAGCTCACCTTTTCAAACTGCTCCGTGCAGTGTGCGAGGCTGGCAGCAACCCGCCCAATGTTGCGGCGCTGCCAGCTGAGTGTCTTCCCCCCGCGCTGTTTCTCCACATCGCGATCAAACTGCCGCTCCCACGCGCCCTCCCACGCCTGCTTCGCGTCGCACAGCTGCAGCCCGGGCGGCAGCGGGTGGCGGTACATGCCGCCCGCAGCGCGCACGGCGTTGATTAGCGCCGCCGCCTGATGGAGAAGAGGGGTTGGGTGGGTGGATGGATGGGTGGACTCTAATGTGACTGTGGCGGTAATTGACGCGCCTCAACTAGCGGTACATGCCGCCTGTGGCACGCACGGCGTTGATCAGAGCCGCCGCCTGACGGGTAAGAGGTGTGGGGTGGGTGGGTGGGTGGGTGGATGTTGAGTCGACTGTAAAGTGACTGCCGCATCCCATGCCTTCACTGTCCCATGCCCCCAACCTCCCCACTCACCTCGTCATCAGCAGCACATGGGGAGGAGCAGGGCCGGCACTCGGCTCCGTTCAGCGGCCCATAGGTGGCAGTAGAAAACATCATGGCAGCACACCCATCGCCTGCTGCTCCCCACCCACCCACCCACCCACCCCCTCTCCCATTCACCCACCTTCTCATCAGCGGCACATGGGGAGGAGCAGGGCCGGCACTTGGCTCCGTTCAGCGGCCCATAGGTGGCAGTAGAAAACATCCTGGCAGCACACCCATCGCCCCTCTTCCCTCATTCACATACGCGTGGCCCCACTGCCCCGCCTTCCTGAATCACCCACTCCCCAACCTCCCCACTCACCTGATCATCAGCGGCACATGGGGAGGAGCAGGGCCGGCACTTGGCCCCATTCAGCGGCCCATAGGTGGCAGTAGAAAACATCATGGCAGCACACCCATCACCCCCTCTCGACCGCCTCCGCGTCACCACACAGAAATGGAAATGCTTCCGCGTCACCACCACCCCTCCAACCTCCATCTGCGCCCGAAACGCCTTCTCGGACGTCAGCGCCCTGTACCCAGCACTGAACAGGTCTTGTAACGCGGATAAACGCCTGAGAGCCACTTGAGAGGCCGCCCAGGAGCCAATCCCGAGGCGGTCGTTGAGGCCCCCCCAGTCGAACCCGAAGGGGATGGTGTAGGCGGAGGGGTGGAGAGCGGTGAGAAGGGGAGGGGGTGCGGTCCAGTAGCCATCCACTCTCGTGCGAATGACCCAGCGGTAGGAGATGTTGTGCTGCTGCTGGTGGGTGGATATGAGATCGATACAGCCCTCCACGAGACGAAAATAATGCAGCAGACCCTGGGGGGGTGGTGAAAGAATGGGGTCGATGGGGAAAAACGGGGGGTGTGTGGAGAGAGAAAAGGGAATGCAGGGTAGACGAGGGGAGGGACGCTGTTGATTTGACCAGACAATCCTTCATCCATTTGTCTGAATGTTATGTTGCCCATTCTGCCACCCCACCGGTAATGTGCAGCACCGGGAACACCACGTGCCCCACCTGGATGCCATGTGGCGAGCCGTTACTGGTGAGCACCGCGCGGTGCTCATCCGTCTCTGCGATGTCCGCACTGGGGAAGATGCGCACCGCCGCTATGCTCACCGCACCCTCTGTGCTGTTGCTGGCGGCACCAGCAGCAGAATTAGCAGCAGAGGAGGCGGCGGTGGTGTTGGGGGGAGTAGCAGGGGCGGCGAGCAGCAGCGCCCACAGCTTGCTGGCGCGCTCGTCCAGCGGCGAGTGCAGGAAGAGGTGAGCTGGCGGATAGCGGCTGATGACGTGGCGCAGGATGGACGGCCACGTGGCCTCGAAGTCCCGAGCGCCGCCCACGAGGCAGATGGCAACCGGACCGTCATTGGCCGCAGTCACAGTCACGGGTGCCTCGGCATCGGCAGTAGTATTGCCAGTCGCAGTGTCACCACTGGCACCACTTGCAGCATTACCGCGTGCAGCAGCGGCTGTGGCAGCAGGAGGAGGCGGCACGCCTGGTGCGGCCTGTCGCTGCTGTTCTGAGGCCTTGTCCTGCTGAGCTTTGAACAGCGTCAATTTCGACCCGTCAACCTGTTTCCCCACGTGCTGCGGCTGCTGCTGTTCTGAGGCCTTGTCTTGTTGAGCTTTGAACAGCGTCCAGCTCGTCCCGTCTGCCTGTTTCCCCACGTGCTGCTGCTCCTGCGTTAAAAGTTCGTATCCAGAAGCGTGCGACGTCGTTTCGTTCTGCTTCGCGAATTTCTGTTCCCGCTTGTCCCGCTTGTCGCCGTCCTGCCGGCCGGCGCTCTGGTCCTTGTGCTGCCCCTGCCGTCCCTGCTCCTGCTGTTCACCCTGTTGCCCATTCTCCTGTGGCTCCTTCTGTTTCTGTGGCTGTGGCGGTTGCCCCTGCTGCGGTTGCACGGAGAGGCTGCTTTGCAGCCGCTGAAGCCATGCACGGGAGGTCGCATTGCTGACTGGGAGCAGTGCGAAGGCGGACGGCGAAGTGAGCAGCGTGAAGTGCGCCGTCGCGAAGTATGCGACGGTCCATGCGACGACGAGTGCGACGAACAGCAGCGCCACGCCCACGCGTGCACCGCCTACCGACGACCCCAGCAGCCGCCTCATTCCGGCAGCTCGCCAAATCATTCAATGCGCAGCACATGTAAATGAAAGAATATCCGATCAATATGGCCTACTAAACCAAGCGAGCATATCAGAGTGGCGCAGCGGAAGCGTGGTGGGCCCATAACCCACAGGTCCCAGGATCGAAACCTGGCTCTGATAGTTTTCATTCAACTCCCTGCTGCTTTTTCTCCCTCGCGGCGTTTTCACCTGACCACAATTTCGTGACTCGCCCTCTCAGGTCGTGACGTCGTACCCAGTCAGCAGCGTAGGGGCTTACCTTGGAGCGCGCGCCGTTTAAATCGTTAAAGCCGGCGTACCGCGTTTCAAACTCACTTTAATTCTGGTTTACGCTTAGGACTCACTGCGGTCATCACCTTTTCATCCAGCCGACTCCACCGGTGCGGCGCCATGTCGACAATGGACGCTCAGGATGAGCTGGAGGAGGCGGTGAGCCGAATCTACGGCGAGTGGCTTGCGCGTGGCGGCGGCCGCTCCGGCTCTCGGACTCCGTAGGCACTGCGCGCCAATTCCTGACGCGCATGAATCGCTGCGCCCGTCTTACTGCCTTTCGAACCTAGCATAGACGAATCTTAGTAGCGGCTAATAGCCCCCGGGAAGTCGTTTAACTACCCACTTGCACCGCGTCTCTTGTTAGTTTCTCCCTGCTGCTTCTGCGGCTCTCCTTACTGCTTCCGCTCCATCGTTTCACGTTGCTGCCCTCGCGCGTATCTTTCCGCGATTCTCCTTGTTTGGCTCTCCGCGCAGGGGCACGGAGGGAGAAGAGGCAGCGGGCGGAAGGCGGAAGGAGCGGGGCGGGAGCGGGGGAGAGGGGCTGCGGCTGCTGCGGGAGCGACACGTGCGATTCCTGTTGAAGGGCCTGGACCACCTGTCAAGTAGCTATGCCAGCTTGGATGCCAGGTCAGCATAATATCTTGAGACCATTCAGGTTTCATCACTATACAAGCTCACCCCTCCACACACCCTCTCAACTCTGCCTGTCCCGTCCAGTCTCTTCCCTCATCCCAATCCCTTCCATCCACACATGCTAACCCCTCTCCACCGATTCATCTCCCTCCTATGATTCCCTTTCCCCCTACATCTCACCTCTCACATGGTTACCAGTCGGCCATGGCTGGTGTTTTGGATCGTGCACTCCCTCGCCCTCCTCGAGCATCCTCTTGACGCCTCTCTTGCTGCGCGATGCGCCGACACGCTTCGCCGCTGCCAGGTGAGCTTCAGGTGCCGCCAGGTGAGCTTCAGGTGCCGCCAGGTGATGCTTCAGGTGCCGCCAGGTGAGCTTCAGGTGCCGCCAGGTGAGCTTCAGATGCCGCCAGGTGAGCTTCAGGTGCCGCCAGGTGAGCTTCAGGTGCCGCCAGGTGAGCTTCAGGTGCCGCCAGGTGAGCTTCAGGTGGAATTGGATGGACCCAGGCTGGGAGTTGAATCTGCATCACAGTGCGGTAGCAATGATCAACGGCCGGAGTGCCGTGATCCCGCTCAGCCTCACTCGTTTACATCGTGTGAATGTCTTCACTCATTCGCTCATCTATGACCGGATCGTCATCTCAACCCCCTCCATTCCCTGCCTTCCTTTTCATCCCTTACTCGCCCCATCCTTGTCTCCTCCCCTCCCCTCCCCCACAGCATCCCGAGGGCGGCTTTGGAGGGGGGCCGGGGCAGGTGAGAGCACTCACTCACTTTACATCCACCCGCATGTTCGCACGTACATGATTTGTGTTGGCGCACAGGGTACGAATCTTATCAGCAATCTCAAAGAAAGTCGTCCTTTTCGCTTCCATCCTTCAGCCCTGCATGCTTTGTTTTTTCCCCCTTCCTCCTCCTCCTCCTCCTCCTCCTCCTCCTCCTCCTCCTCCTCCTCCTCCTCCTCCTCCTCCTCCTCCTCCTCCTCCTCCTCCCCCTCCTCCCCCTCCTCCACCACCTCACCTCCTTACAACCACACCACACCGTTCTGTTTACTCCTCAGCCTCCTTCCCCTCTATTTCCCCTTCCCTTTTCCCCCTCAACCACCTGTGTGTCTGTCTGTGCATCCACCCATGCCATGCAGCTGGCTCACTTAGCCACCACGTATGCAGCTGTGGCAGCGCTGGTGACAGTGGGAGGGGAGGAGGCTCTTTCTGTGGTCAACAGGTGTGCTCGGCTGCTCCCATACCCCTTTCCACTGTGCTTCCATACCCCCCCTCTTACTCCTCTGCACATTTCGTTCTTCCACCCTTCCCTCCTTCCCTCCTCTTCCTCTTTCCCCCAGCCTTCTCTTCCCCTTCTCTTTTTCCGCTCATTTCCTTCACCTCTCTCTCCCCTCCTTTTTGAGCCCGTAACTCTGATTCCCTGTCCCTCCCTCATATCCCTCCCCTTCCCGCAAACCCCTCCTCTTCCCTCATGTCCCGCCCTCCCTCGCACGTCCTCCCTCCGTGTGAGGACCAGGAGATCTATGCTTGCCTTTCTGCGCCGCATGAAGTGCCAATCAGGGGGTTTCAGGTGAGTCGGTTCTTTCTGGGACTGTGCCATGGGGCCTGCCATGCCATGGGATGGACGGGTCTTGTCTTGAGAAGAGCATGTTTCAACGAAGAACTTATAGCATTGAGAACATATATCGTCCCTTCCCTCACCCTCCCAGGCGCCAGGCCCTGCTTTGCCCCCTCCTGCTCTCCGCACCGACCACTTCCCAATTCCTTCTTCCCCCCCCCCCTGGCCCGTGCAGGCTGCACCAAGGGGGTGAGACGGACGTGAGGGGCTGCTATACTGCCATGGCGGTGAGTCACATGCTGCTGTACTGTGTTGGGGTTGGGGGGGGTACGAGACGAGACTACTATGATGCCACCTGCATGTGCATGTGCTGCATTGCCATGGCTATCCATTAATGCCATTCCTCCATCCATCTCTCCTCCTACCCTCACTCCCCTCTCCTCGCGATGCACCAAACTCTCTGTTCCTTTGCTCATCCCTTCTCCCGTGCTTCTCCTCTGAGCGCTTTTCCTGCCACACTCATGCTCATCATCTCTCCTCTCGCTAGGACCCCTTCCCTGCCTCACACCTGCTCGTAATCTTTTCTTTCGCTGGGCCTTGCGTGGCCTGGGCTGCCGGCCCTTCTCTCTATGTTGTCTGCTCTCCGCCGTTCCGCTCACAGGTGGCTCATCTGCTTTGCATCCGCACGCCTGACCTTACAGCAAACGTGGCGCAATATGTGCACAGGTGGGCGGCGCGGGGCGGGGGTTGATGAGAGGTGACGAGCGATGATGATGAGAAATGATGAGAGATGATGAGAGGTGATGCACACATGGAAACTTTGTCTGTGATAGTCTGGTTTCTGTGTGCGGCTGTTCTATGGTGCTGCGTTTTCTGTAGCCTTCTGGTTGTGCAATGCAATGTGCAGCTCACCTGTGAAATGCGCATTGCCTTCCCATGCTCTCTCCTCTCCGCCTTCACAGCTGTCAGACCTACGAAGGGGGCATTGGGGGAGAGCCAGGCGCAGAGGCTCATGGGGGGTGAGTGGGCGGAGTTGGGGGTCCAGTGGGGGAAATGGAATGTTGAAGGGGGGTGTGAGTTGAACGAGTGGGTTGGGATGGAAGTACATGTGAGACAGCGTGGGGCGTGAGGAGAGGAAGATGAAGGGGAGGGGGATTGGATTCACGGCATCACATGGGAGCCTTTTCCTTTTTAGATCCTTACAAGTGGATACGCCCATTCCTCCCTCACAATCCCTACCTTTGAATCAGCAAAGAGGGTTTCCTGTCCCCCATCCCCTCCTGTGCGATCATCATGTACCTTCTCCCTATCCTCGCCACGCCTCTTCACTCGCCCGTCTATTCCTTGTCGCCCCCTCTCGCTGCTCGCCGTGCAGGTACACATTCTGTGGGCTCGCTGTGGTGCTATTGGCTGGCGCTGACCCCTGGGAGCATCTCAACCTGCCCCTGCTCCTGGTCCGTATCTCTGCCCCCCGGTCAATATCCCTTCGAAGATGCCCCTGTTGCTATTGGCTGCCCTCACAGCTGTATCACTTTTGCAAATGCTCAAAAGTGACACAACCATAGCCCTGGGAGCATCTCAACCTGCCCCTGCTCCTGGTCCGTATCTCTGCCCCCCGGTAGATACCCCTTTGGAGACGTGCCTGCTGCCAATAGCAGCAGGCATTTCAAAATGAAAAAGGGAGACAAGCTTAGTTATAATCAAAGTCCTTTTCACCCCTTCCTGCCTCTGCATCGTAGAGTCGTACCTGTAGTTGATGTCGTCTATTTTTGAGTTCTGTTTTGAGTCGACTCAAAACACGACTGCATCGTAGATTTGTACCTACCTGTAGTTGATGTCGACGATTTCTGAGTTTTTTTTCAGAAACTAGGTGTTGCACGAGAATGCTCCTCCACTGACCACATCTCATCATCCCCTCTTTCACCCAACCACCTTCTGCCCATCCCCTCCTTCGCCACAACCCTTCCATCTCCCCCTCACCTCTCCTGCCATGATGCCATCCCATCCCCTGAGCAGGACTGGCTGGTGTTTCGGCAGGGCGGGGTGGAGGGGGGCTTTCAGGGCCGCAGCAACAAGCTGGTAGACGCCTGCTACAGCCTCTGGCAGGGCGGCCTCTTCCCTCTCCTCGCCCTCTGCCCCTCCCCCCGCCTCCCCAGTGCTTGTACCACACAGGCGGATAGCTCTGCTCACACCTCTCCATCCCCCCGTGTCACCTCTCTTCTCTCCCGTGCACTGGGCAGGACTGGCTGGTGTTCCGGCAGGGGGGGGTGGAGGGCGGGTTTCAGGGGCGCAGCAACAAGCTGGTGGACGCCTGCTACAGCCTCTGGCAGGGCGGCCTCTTCCCTCTCCTCGCCCTCTGCCCCTCCTCCTCCGACACCCGCCCCAGGGGCGATGCCAGCTCAGCGCAACAGCCGAACAATGTGATCTTGTCGCCACACGCTGACGGTGCGGCAGGGGATCAGCTAGGCGTGCAGGCAGGCAGCGGCGAGGAGATGGGGGCTGCTGGTGATTCGAGAGGCGCTGCTGGTGGGACTGGAGGGGGTGAAGAACGCTCCAGTGCCGCAGCAGGTGATGGTGGCAGTGAGGAGGGCAGAGAGGCAGAGGTTGAGGAGGAGGAAGATGAAGAGGAAGAGGATGAGTGGGAAGAAGCAGATGTGGAGTCGTTTCACCGTGTTCCCTCTGCCTCTGCTGCTGACCTCTTCCCCTGTCCCGAGTCTCTGCTCCTGCCTGCTGGGCCTGGGGAGGGAGGAGAGAGGAGGGGAGGAGTGGAGGGTGGAGGAGAGGGAGAGGAGCGGAGGGAAGGGGCGACAGGCGCAGTGCGAGGGGAGGTGGGGGCTGGGGCAACTACACATGGGCATGACTGGGTTGACAGCTTCTGTTACAACGACGTGGCACTACAGGCTTACCTGCTGCTCTGCTGCCAGGTCGGTACCCCACCTCCTCATCCTTTCCTCAACTATTTCCCCGCTTCTTCGTGTCGTTTCACACTGCGCCCCTCAAAGTTAGCCCGAAACTGCTCCCGACTGGCATATGCTCGGCACATAAGGAAAGGCTTCCTGCATTTCCCTTACCTGCCAAGCACATGGCAGCCTCGCAGGCAGCATCACCATTGTCTTTGCACCTCCCTGCTCTTCCTTCACTTGCCATGCCTGCAGGTGCCAGAGGGGGGTTTGAGGGACAAGCCAGGCAAGGCACGCGATTACTACCACACCTGCTACGCCCTCAGCGGCCTCCCCGCGTCGCAGCACTCCCATCCAGTGCCCTTACCCTGCACCCATGCGCCTCCCCACTCCCCTCTCTTCACTTACCGTGTGTGCAGGTGCCAGAGGGGGGTTTGAGGGACAAGCCAGGCAAGGCACGCGACTACTACCACACCTGCTACGCCCTCAGCGGCCTCTGCGTCCCCTCCCATCCAGTGACCTTACCCCACACCCATGCGCCTCCCTACTCCCCTCGCTTCACTTACCGTGTGTGCAGGTACCAGAGGGGGGACTGAGGGACAAGCCAGGCAAGGCACGCGACTACTACCACACCTGCTACGCTCTCAGCGGCCTCACCGCTTCCCAGCACTCCCATCCATTGCCCTCCACCCGCACCCATGCGCCTCCCTACTCCCCTCTCTTCACTTACCGTGTGTACCTGCAGGTACCAGAGGGGGGGCTGAGGGACAAGCCAGGCAAGGCACGCGACTACTACCACACCTGCTACGCCCTCAGCGGCCTCACCGCGGCCCAGCACTCCCAGCCAGTGACCTTCCCCACACGCACCCTTGCTCCCCAGCAAGCTGGGGCTAGTGCGGCGCAGGGAGTGGGGGGTAGTGTGTTAGGGCCTGTCTCAAACCTTCTGGCAGTGGCTGAGCCTCGCTGTAATGTCAGGCGAGACAAATATGACGAAGCGATTAGGTTCTACGAGGAGTGTGAGGCTTTGTTGTAAAACGCAATGCTTGCTATGAAAATGTATCTAAGAAACCTCACTGTACTGTTAGCGAAACTTTTCGTTTAGCGCGTCACTGAGAACCCAGAAATGCTTTGATGCAAGCATCTTGAACTCAAGGCTTGTCATTTCGTCGACGCTGGAGCATCTTACTGCAAGCCAAGAGCAACTTACTGAGCTCGGCGCGCAGCAGCCTCCGCAGCAGCAAGAGCGCGTGCATGCGCGGGCTTCCCTCAAGCGGGCGCCTCCTGATTGCCACGCTCACCCGCTCGATACAGTCACATCGGGCTCAGTCACCCTGCGCCCCGCACTCTTCTTTGCTCCAAAGCGCGCCGAAAGTTGTGTGGGCGTTGTTTCCGGGAGGTGCATTGGGATCTCCGCGCGCACTGGGAGCACCGCGCGTATCGGAACTCGGGCGCCAAGTGATATCTGCGCGCGGGCTGACATCCGCGCAAGCGGCCCCACGAATGGGGGATAAGCGCAAAGCGAACGGGGAAGGGGAGGCGGAGAACAAGAAGTCAAAGGCGGCGGTAGCGGGGGAAGCAGGGTCCGCGGGCGCAGGGGGGGCAGCGGGAGGGGGAGGCGAGGTCATGGGGGGGCCCTCAGGGTTTAAGGTTTTGAAAGAGGGTGCAGCGGAGATTTTAGTACAGGGTAACGACGTGTTCTATAACAAGGCGCAGGTAGTTAATCGCGACCTGTCCGTTTGCGTGCTTCGCGCGTTCGTCGCGGTTCGGCGGGAGGAGGAGAATCAGCGGGCCGCGGCTGTGGCGGCGGGAGTGAAGGGGCGCGCGCTCCTGAAACACCCCAATGCGGACCTTGCGGCGAAATCTGCGGCGGCTGCTGCGGCGAAGCTTAGAGGCGGGGAGAAAGGGGGAGGCGCGGAAAAAGGGGAAGGCGCCGAGAAAGGGGAAGCTGGGGATGGGGAGGGGGAGGAGAAGGAGGTGAAAGAGGGAGAGGGAAGAGCAGCGGAAGGGGCCGCAGGAGGGGAAGGAGGGGAGGGGAAGGAGAAGAACGGGGAGAAGGGGGACGGCGCGGCTGCGACAGATGCGGCGGGTGAAACGGGGGAGGGGCAGCAGCAGCAGCAGCAGCAGCAGCAGCAGCAGCAGCAGCAGCAGCAGCAGCAGGCGAAGGTGGCTGAAGTGAAGCCTCTGAGAATCCTAGAGGTCGGTGTTCATGCCCTCTCCCTCGGTTAGGTGTTCATGCCCTCTCCCTCGGTTACAACCCCGACCATGCATGAATGCATCATGAACCTATTTCCAACCCCACACTCACCTCTTACCCCGCATTCACCTCTCATCCCACACTCGCCTTCCCTCTCCCAGGGCCTGGCAGCATCAGGGCTACGTTCGATCCGGTATGCCACGGAAATCCCAGGGGTGGGCGCGGCGGTGGCACTGGACAACTACCCCGTCGCCGTGCAGGCTGGCCACTCTGCTCTTTGCCATCTGATAAGCCAAGGAAATCCCACACTGCTCTTTGCCCTCCCCTCCCCCTCCTCCCACCCTCGGCCTACCCAGGGGCTGGCAGCGCCAGGACTGCGGTCGATCCGGTACGCCAAGGAGATCCCGGGGGTGGGCGCGGTGGTGGCGCTGGACAACGACCCCGTTGCCGTGCAGGCCTGCTTGCCCCTCAATCTGATAAGCCAACGAAATCCCACGCTGCTCTTCGCCCTCCCTCTCCTCCCACCCTCGGCCTACCCAGGGGCTGGCAGCGTCAGGGCTGAGGTCGATCCGGTACGCGAAGGAGATCCCCGGGGTAGGCGCGGTGGTGGCGCTGGACAATGACCCCGTGGCCGTGCAGGCCTGCCAACGCAACCTGCTGCTCATCCTCCGTGCGGCTCCACACCGCGCCTTCTCCTCTTCCTCTCCCCTTCACCTTACCCCTGGCAGGGACTAGCAGCGTCAGGACTGAGGTCGATCCGGTACGCCAAGGAGATCCCGGGGGTGGGCGCAGTGGTGGCGCTGGACAACGACCCCGTCGCCGTGCAGGCCTGCCAACGCAACGTGGCACACAACTTCGGTGGTAATCCACCACCACCCGCCACCACCCCCGCTAGTCCTGCCGCTCCACCACCCGCCGCTACTGCCAGTGGTGCTGCTGTGGCTGAGGGGGAGAGAGGGGCGGGCAAGGAGGAGGAGAAGGGAGGGGGGGGTGAGCCGGCGAGTGAGGGAGGGAAGGTTGAAGGGGACGGGGCGGTGCCTGTGAGAGCAGAGCAAGGGGATGCACGCGTGTACATGATACTGCACGAGAAACAGTTTGATGCGGTGAGTGAGTGTGGAATGCAGTGCAGCAGTGTGTCCTGCTGAATGCTGCCTTCCTTCCCAATACACCCCTCTGACTGTGGGTGGACCTGCACCCTTGCTGGCCTCCAGTCCTCATAAATGGGGCCACTCAAGCATTGCCGGTGTTTTCAGTCGACTCTATTTTGACAAACTTCTGGACCCTCACGAGTCTTCCTACACGGGGCAGTGCAGGCGGAGGCAGAGACTATGAATGATTCGAAGTATGAATTGACTGTTGTTTTGAGTCAACTCTTTGTAGGTTGGTTTGTGAGAATTCTCAAAACCAACCTACACTGGCAGAGACCTTGATTAAGTCGTCGTATGAATTTTGCTGAATTGAATGTTGAGTCAACTCAAACATCCGCCCTTCTCTTATCCCTGCAGGTGGATCTGGATCCGTACGGGACGCCGTCGGTCTTCCTGGATGGGGCGGTGCAAGCGGTGGCGGATGGGGGCATGCTGCTGGTGACGGCCACTGACATGGCCGTGCTGTGCGGGAACAACGCTGAAGTCTGCTACTCCAAGTGAGCTGAGAGCAGATGAGGGAGATTCAACACGTGGTAGGGCTTGGGGTTCACGGTTGCACTGTGTACAACAGCAGGGTGCTGCTGGTGACGGCCACTGACATGGCCGTGCTGTGCGGCAACAACGCTGAAGTCTGCTACTCCAAGTGAGCTGAGAGCAGATGAGGGAGATTCAACATGTGGTAGGGCTTGGGGTTCACGGTTGCATTGCGTACAGCAGGGAACTGCTGGTGACGGCTACTGACATGGCCGTGCTGTGCGGGAACAACGCCGAGGTGTGCTACTCCAAGTGAGCCCATTTGTCGGGCAGAACTCTCATATCTGTTGGGGATCTGGGTTCAGGGTTTTTTTAGGTGCATATGCGGATGGGGGCCTATGCCGTTGGTGAGAGCCACGAACATGGCCGTGCTGTGTGGGAACAACGCCGAGGTCTGCTACTCCAATTGAGGTGCAGTTTAGAAGGAAAAAAAAAGGAAAACAGGAGGTTAATTCACATCACAAGCAGGTCCAGGTTACCCAGACACTTCTGTTACCATCCATGCTCGCTGTGTGTCTGTCCTGTGTGTGCATCGTTTGACTGTTTCAGATGGCTTTTGAGTCGCCTCAAAAGTCATCTTGTGTGTGTTTTGTGTGTCCCCCCTGTGTGGCTGTATCAGGTACGGGGCCTATCCACACCGCGCCAAGTACTGTCACGAGATGGCGATCCGCATACTGCTTGCCTCCATCGAAGTAAGCCTCCCTTGAATCACTTCTCTTAGCCGCCGCAGTGGATGCTCATCATGGAGGCAGTGTTCACAGGAGCACTCATCCTCACCCGTTTCCACTCAGTTGCTCCTCACAGCGTCACGTTACATGCTGCTCATGCTGCTGCTGCCCCAAGTTTCTTGTCTTAACAATCTCTCCTCCTGTCCTCAACAATCCCTTTATCCTCTACGTGTGACACCACAATCCCGTATCAACAATCCATTCCCCCCCCCGTGCCCTGTGGTGGTGCCCATCAGAGTGCGGCGAACCGGTTCAAGCGGCACATAGTGCCCGTGCTGTCAGTGTCTGTCGACTTCTACATCCGCGTGTTTGTGCGCGTCTTCACGTAAGTCTGATTGGGTAGAGGGAGTGTAGGTTAACTGCAGCACTGCTGCGATGGATGATATGATCCGCTGCTTCACTGCATCTCGGACCATCTTCCTGTGATCATTCAACACACACGTCGAATCAGTCTTCCATGCACTCAACTGACCTGCTGTTCAGAGCCTTATGGCTGTCTTGTCTCCCCGTCTCACTGTGCCTCCTCTGCTGCCTCCACGCTGCTGGCTGTTATCCCGCCATCAGGTCAGCGCAGGCAGTGAAGGCGACACCCAGCAAGCTGGCGTACGTCTTCCAGTGCTCTGGCTGCGACTCCTACCACCTGCAGCCCGTGGGGCGGGTCGTTGAGGGGCGCACCAAGGTGAGGCTCGTTAAAGAAGACAATCAAAGTCGGTGCCACATACAGCCATGCCCATGCCACACAAGTGGTGTTCCACGTGCCTTGCACTGTCTCTGCCAGCAATAGTAATTGTGTTAGCTGCCTGCCTATCAGCCCCGTGGCTCATTCCTCATCTTCCTCGCCCACCCCACCACACCACATCCATTTCTCTCCCTGCCTCCCTTCCCCACCTTCTGGTGGCATCTGGGAATGGGTGGATACATCATACATATGGGCCAGGCAACATCTCAACATGCAACCCATGGTAAAGATTTCAAGAATCAACGTCTCTTTTCTCATCTCTCTCCCCTCAACCCCCGCACTTTTCCCTGTCCCTCCAGAAACCAGACGCCCCTCCCCCTCCTCCCAGGTACCTACCTGGCCTAGGCCCCGTGATCCCCCCTGCGTGCGAGCACTGCGGGCGGCATCTGAGCATCGGAGGGCCCATGTGGTCAGCGCCGATCCACGACGCCAGCTGGGTTCGGCTCGTTCTGGGGGAGGTGCAAGCGGGGAAGGGCAGACTGGCTGGATTCGGCAAGGTGCATGGGCTGCTGACTGCTGTGTCTGAGGTAGGTGGGAAGGAGAGGGGGGAAAGGGGAAGGAGAGGGGGGTAAGGAGAAGGGAAAAAGATGGAATTCGATGATGGATTGTCTGTTAAGGAAGGTGGACTTGGTGCTTCCTGATGTATGTGAATTAGGGGGGAGTGCAGCATGGAAAGGGTGAAGAGGGAACAGGAAAGTGGGAATGTGAAAGAGGGAAGAGGGGAGTGGGAAAGGGGCAGTGGGACGGGGATTTGGGAAGGAGGAGAGGGCAATCATGGGTATCTGTGCATTGACTAGCATAAAATGAGATAAGCGCCATAATCAATAGCTTGTCCCTCTCCCTTTGTCCCCTTCCTCCCATCCCTCACTGTACCTCACACTGCAACATAACTCCCTCATCACACTCAAATGCACCCCTCCCTTCCCCTCGCTCCTGATCCTCCTATCCCTCTGTCCACCCCAGGAGCTGCATGACATTCTGTACATCGATCTGCACGAGATCAGCGCCACGCTCAAGTGCACACCCTTCTCCCCCCCTCCCCTTCCCGTCCTATCCCTCTCTCCCCTTCCCCTGTCCCCCTCTCCACCTCAGGAGCTGCATGACATCCCGCTGTACCTCGACCTGCATGAGATCAGCGCCACACTCAAGTGCACGCCTCCCTTTTCCCCTCCCCTTCCTGCCCCCATTTTCCCTCTGATCCCCCTCTGTCTACCCCAGGAACTGCATGACATTCCACTGTACCTCGATCTGCATGAGATCAGCGCCACACTCAAGTGCACGCCTCCCTTTTCCCCTCCCCTTCCTGCCCCCATTTTCCCTCTGATCCCCCTCTGTCTACCCCAGGAACTGCATGACATTCCACTGTACCTCGATCTGCATGAGATCAGCGCCACACTCAAGTGCACGCCTCCCTTTTCCCCTCCCCTTCCTGCCCCCATTTTCCCTCTGATCCCCCTCTGTCTACCCCAGGAACTGCATGACATTCCACTGTACCTCGATCTGCATGAGATCAGCGCCACACTCAAGTGCACGCCTCCCTTTTCCCCTCCCCTTCCTGCCCCCATTTTCCCTCTGATCCCCCTCTGTCTACCCCAGGAACTGCATGACATTCCACTGTACCTCGATCTGCATGAGATCAGCGCCACACTCAAGTGCACGCCTCCCTTTTCCCCTCCCCTTCCTGCCCCCATTTTCCCTCTGATCCCCCTCTGTCTACCCCAGGAACTGCATGACATTCCACTGTACCTCGATCTGCATGAGATCAGCGCCACACTCAAGTGCACGCCGCCCAGCATGCTGCTCTTCCGCTCCGCGCTGATCAACGCGGGGCACCACGTGTCAGGGGCGCACTCCAACCCACTTGGCATCAAGACCGACGCCCCGCTTGGGCTCATCTGGGACGTTATGCGCTGCTGGGTGAGTGATTTGTGGGTGATGGGGGGAAGAGGAGGGGAGGGGGATGTGTGGATCAAATAATTGGACACTTTGCGATGATGTATGATGTGATAATGTGGCATGTGAACCTGCACGCTGTGGGTTCTGCATCTCTCCACGCCATTAACCCCGTTCCCACGTGTAACACTCCACGTGCCCATGTGGTAACCAGATCCGAGACCATCCAGTGAAGTCCCAAGGGGAGGGCAGCCCAGCTGACACGATTCTGGCCAAGCCACCCACGACTGAGGTACGATGAGTCCATGCACACTGTGAGTGACTCAGGCGATGGATACTCTTTTCTTACTGGATCTGAACAGGTCTTGCTTGCAGAAGTTGCAGATGAGGGGAGGGAGTGTGTTTGTTACTCTTCGTTGCCCAACTCCCACACCGTCCTCAGCCCAAAATCACATGCCCTTTCCCCCTCTTCTCTCACTTCTCTTCTTTCCGCCTTCTTCCAGGTCAACTTTGCAAAAGCGCCCAAGGCGTTGAGCAAGGCGCAGCAGAAGGGAGTGGCTAGGTTTGTGCCCAACCCAGAGGCATACTGGGGGCCCAAGCCGCGTGCTGGGAGAAAGGACGCCACTGCCATGGCTGTGCTAGCCCGTGAAGAAGGGGCGGAAGGGAAGGGGGATGAGGCGATTGAGTGACGTGGTACTTGTGAGTCACGAGTTGTGCCCTTGAGTGGTGGTGCTTCAGGAGAAGGCTGGGAATTCCCATTCTAGAATCACAGACTTGAGTCGTGATACTGGCATGCTGCTCAGCTGCCCTGTTTTTGTTCAATATTTTCTGATGGAAACGAGTTGTGCATCTTGAACAAGCGTTCTCCATTATTGAACCCAGAGAAAACTCCATCTTCTGGTAGCAAGTTGGTAAGTAAGCTCCTGGCCAAGCAAGTATTGTATTAGTGGACCGTATATATTGCATAAACAGCATAATGTGAACCAACCGAGTCCACCGCCACCAGTCTACGCGTTGGCAATGATCTCATGCACCAGATCGCTGATGGTGACATCCTCTGACCGCGCAGCCAGCTTCATGGCCACCTGCTTCTGCGCATCCATGCCAAACGACAGCCGCACCAGCGCCGACACATCCCCCGGGAACGTCCCGGCAAGCAGGCACTGGTGCGAGCGCGCGTTGGACGGCACGTTCTCGCTGCTCTCGCACGGCTGCATGCCAAGAATGGTGATGACTGCCTCTACCGCCTCCTGCAGGCTGTCGCGCACGCCCAGCCCGTACTCGTCCACGCGCTCGAGAGATGGGTCGATGGCCTCCCATGCTGCTCTGAAGTTGGGCACACTCAGCTTCCGCACGTAGTCCGCTGATGATACCTGCACAAGCCGAGAGGGGGAGTGGGAAAGGGGAGAGGGAGGGGGAGGGAAGGTTCGAGGACATTGATAAGGTTGCACGAGGGGCAATATTGCGGCTGAAGTGTGTGAGAGAGGTGTGATCTGAGACTCCAGACAATCAAAGCGATACAGCCCATCCAACCACATTGCCAACTACCCTCGAGGTCTTCCAGCTGGTACTCGTCCTCGTACCCCTCCTTGTTGCAGGTGGCTTTCGAGAATTCTCAGAAATCGCCTGCAACAAAGTCCATCTACCACTCCTCCAATCCCATCTCATACTCAGAGTCTCAAGTCTCACCTCAAGGTCTTCGAGCTGGTACTCGTCCTCGTACCCCTCCTCCTCTGCATCCCCTGTGTTGGGGTCCACCTCGACCACCTTGAACTTCATGATGTTCGTAATCTTGCCCAGCGTCAGCGCACCCTCGGGCTTGGACAGCGCCACAAAGGTGTGCCCGGTCACGCCGTACGCCATGCTCTTGAGCGGAATGGTCGCCACCTCCTCGAATTCCTCCGCCTCTGCCAGGTCCATGAGCACTGTGACCTGCAGGAATGGAAGTCAAAACGTGGAAGGAACACAATGAGTTTTTATACTAAGGTAAAAAAAAAAAACTCATCAAATGCAAATGCTACTGCTTCTGCCAGGTCTTGAGCACTGTGACCTGTGAGGAAGGGACAAAGAGGGATGAGCACAGGATAGTGGATAATTGGATAGAGATGAAGACAGTGCAGCATGCGTGTGCAGCATGCGAAGTTTGTGAGATGAGGTCATAAGACAAAAGCAAAAGCAAAACGCTTTAGGCAAGCCAGAGGTGGTTCCAGACGTGGGGAAAGAGGGGGAAAGGCAAGAGGTGCAGGCAGGGCACGGCACTCACATCCTGCAGCATCTGCTCGGCGATGGTGTTGGTGCAGTTGAACTGGAAGACCATGTGTGCGGGGAACACGTGCTTCACCACGTTCACACTGTACTCCGTCTCCGCCTCCGTCAGCTCCACTGGCGCTGATGACTGCAGTGCCAAAAAGGGAGGGGAGGTTGCGCGATGGGACGGGGTGGAGGGGAGGGGTGTGGGGAGGGAGGGAGACACAGAAGAGGAAGAGGAAAAGAGTTGAGAATGCTAGACGCTTGCATTGGCATTCTGGGACAGCCTGAAAGCGGCATCACGCACAGCAGCACATATAAAAAAAGTACAGCCCGTATTGCATCTTTCAAGTGCCTGCCATCCAGCCCTCAAGCCCATGCCACCCGCTCTCCCCACCCTCGCTGCAGCCTGCTCTCGCACCTTGAAGAGCTTGCCGAAGGTGGCGAACTCGGGGATGGAGTTGAGGAGCTTTTCGTACGCCTCTGACGCCGATGCACCACCTCCGGCCGCCTTGGCCGCGGCTGCCTCCTTGGCCGCCTTCTTGGCGCCCGCCTTGGCGGGGGGCAGCCCCTTCACCTCCTTGGGCACACTGTCAATGTCAAATGCCGCCTCACTCGGCTCCTGGGAAGAGGAGGGGGGGCCGGAGAGGGGAGGGGTTTTTTTGTTAGGCGCATCAGGGATAGGATGCCTTGGCGGGAGGCAGGCAGGCCCTTCATTGACCTCCTTGGGCACGCAGTCTATGTCAAATGGTGCCGCACTCGGCTCCTGGGAAGCGGAGGGGGAGGCGGAGAGGGAAGGGGTTTTTTGTTAGGCGCATCAGGGATAGGATGCCCTGGCAGGAGGCAGGCAGGCCCTTCACTTTACCTCCTTGGGCACGCAGTCTATGTCAAATGGTGCCGCACTCGGCTCCTGGTGCGGGGAAGAGGAGGGGATGATGAAGGTTGAAAAGTCGTTAGGCTAATGTCTAATTTATGTCAACGAACACACTGATTACATCCACACATGCACACGTGCTCACAAGGAGACATGCACTCAACCATGTACACCTCCCCTCCCACCTCCTCCACCACACACGCACTGGGTGAGCCTCTTCAGTGAAACACAGTAGAAGTTGATCCAGTGAGCCCCTCATCGACTCACGTAGTGCTTGAGGGCGATCTCAAGGTTGACGAGCGGCACTTCGAGTGCCTCCAGCATGAAGTCGCTGGCGCCACTGGCTGCCACCGACTCCTGCCCGTCCCCCCCCAGCACGTTCAGGTACAGCGTTGCTCGGTCCCGCACCTGATGGGGGTGGGAAACGGATGGGGTAGGAATGTCGTTAGTACCTCGGAAGGAAGAGATATACGAGGACGGGTTTAGTGTAAGGCTGGGTGGCTGCGTGATGCAGTGCAGACATGAGGCAATGTGAGTGAGGGTGGAGGAAAAGCTTGGTTGTTATGACGGAATGCAGGAGGAAAATGTGGGGTTCACCACATTTGTTGTGCGGTGTGTATGCGGTGTAAAGGTGGAATGAGTTGGGACTTAGCACCTCACCTCATCATCGTTGTCGAACAGACAGCGGCGCAGGAGAGTGACAATGCGAGGCTGCACGGAAGCGATGGGGAAGAGGGAAACGGGGAGAGACACACACGGACAACAATACTTCAGACCTGAAGAGGATAGGAAGGACACAGTGCAGCCGAATCTCACTCAAGCAACGCTGCCACCAGTCACTTGTATCCACTCCTCCCCAGTCCCAGCCCACACCCAGACATCCCACCCGTTCCCCAGCCTTAACAACCGCCGCCAGTGCAACCCAGACCCACCCGCAGGGCTTCGACTGCCGCGCCGAACTTGGCGAGGGTGCTGACGGCGCTAGCCCTGACAGTGGCGTTCTCGAGGATGACGCGGTTGTAGATGAAGCGGATGTACCGCGCCGGCTCTGGCGTCTTGGGGCCCTCGTTGCCCAGCAGGTGCAGAATCTGCCAGGCGTAGGTGATAGACAAGCCAAAGGCCCATGGAAGAGTTGTGCGGGGATGCAAAGAAGGACGTGCACATGAATCACAAGGATGCGGATAAGGAGGAAGATGCTCTAAATCAGCAGAAAAATAAGGGGGAGGGGTGGCACCTGTCATTCTGCAAAAGAATCTGTTGCCTGTCTCATGCAGCTGTTTTCAACACATGGGACTCAATGTACCTGCGAGGAGAGGTAGGTGAACTCGCAGTCCTCAATGAACTCGCAGAGGTGTGAGAGGCCAATCTCCTTGGCATCTGGGATCTCGCGAATGAGAATGAGGATGGAATCCACGATCGCCTTCTTGTACTCGAACCCACCCTCCTCCCGCAAGATACCACTCAGGAAGTTCATGCTGCGAACAATCAATACAGAGAAAATGGTGAGTACATGCTCATGCATACAATTTCAATGCATCTGTGTTTAGCCCAAACGCAATCACAGCCTGAAGAAACAACTGCAGGACGAAAGTGGACTGAAGCAACAAGATGCGGCTGAAGCAGCATGAGACCCCACTCACAGGACACGGTATTTCTGTGGGTATTTGAGGCAGAGCGAGCGAATGGCCTCCACGACGACGATCTTGAACTCATCAGCAATATCCGACATGAAGTTGGTGATCTGCTTCATCAGCCGGTCCACACTCGCCTCATTCCCCGTCCTGAGCAGCGTCGTGATCGCAAGCGTCGCAATGCTCCGGTTCGGATCCGAAATCAGTGTCTCCATGTCAATGTTGCAGTTGGTAACCGCCTGCGGGTGCGCCATGGCGACCTTGTTGAGCGTGCGGATGGCGGCGAAGCGCAGCACGGGCTTGGGCGAGGAGAGGAACATCTGGAGCACGGTGATGGCGGGGGTGAGCTCGCGGCCGGTGATGTCGGTGAGCTCCGTCATGGCGCGCGCTGCCTCCAGCATCACCATGTCCGCTCGCTGCCGCAGACAGCTCTCCAGGAACTCGAAGAAGGGGCGCGCGTTGTTGTTGTTGGGACCCATCTCCTCGATCACCTGGCATGCCATGCATGTACAGACCACGTGTATTGCCGATGCAATTTAGCGAATGAATCATGGTGGTGAAGTTATGCTGGTCATTTGCAACAGCTGGCATACATGCTTGATGCAATGCGAAATCTGACAACAAGATACAGCCTGCCTACTAGGCACGGACTATCTGGCAATGGTGGAAGTTACCTGGGAGGTGTAGCGCACAAGCAGGCACTGTGCAAGCGGCGAGCGCACAGCACCTCGAACGAGGCTGGTTACCAGCTTGCTGATGGCCAGACGGTCGCTCTGCCGAATCTGTTCGAAAGAAGATCCAGATTGCATGACAAGACAGCAAGAGAGCAGGAAATAGTATGAGAGTGAACCCAGCAGTCAGCAGATGTGGTAAGGGAGAGCAGTCAGCAGTACAGAGAGTGGGTGGATGGAGAGCTGGCAGAGGACGAGCAGCGTAC